TTCCTTAACAAAAGTATTATTGGCATGATACATAGTTTGCAAAACAATATCTTTCGAAAATTTGGATGGTTTATTCTAAAAATCTCATTGTGATATGAGTTGGTTTTCTCCGCGGGCATTGTCTCACTCCTACTATTTCAAGTGATGTTACCCCAAGGGAGCCTAATGTATTATGATGAAGATTTTGGGACTTGTAACACGGATTATACTACTTTTGTTATGATGCTGCTTTTTGGGAGATGTTTTGCTTGTCTTGCTTGGCAATTGAGAGTTGAGACCTAAAAATTGAAGACGAATCTTTTGTTAAATTGTGTAGAGCTTATTAGTTTTTTTTTTTTTTTTTTGTTGAATTTTGTATAACTTATTAGTTTTAGGGAACTCTTGAAGGATCAGTACTTGTATGTCAAAGCCCTATGTTTTATACGTCATAAGAAGACTTTTTGTTAATACAATGCTTTGTATAGTTGTTGATGAATCTTGTATGAGCAGCTGGGACTTGAGTTTAACTTTCATTACTCGTACTTGGGTATTGAAAATGTACTTTTGGGGAATTAAAATAGACACGCGTATGGTTGTCCTTAGACCGGTTGAACTAAAAATATTAAGTGAGGTTTTTGAAATGACTTTTATAAGTAGTTGTTGTGAGGAATTCCCCATGGTGCTGGAGTGACTCTGAACACATTTTTCACAGTGTTTCTGTATATGTCAAGTTGGTTCCTGTAAAATTTCTCGGTTTTGGATAGCTAAATGATTTTTAATAAATTTCGTAGTTTTTGCAACTCATTTACGTAAGGTTAGGTTAACACATTATATCTGTTTTTGACCTCTAAAGATTACAAAAAAATTCAGAGACATAGCTTTTTGTGTTTATCTTCTAAAAACCTAAGCCTCCAAATTTTTTCCTCACTCCAAATATTCCAAAGAGATTAGATTTCATTGTTGGGTTTATTTTAAGACCTTGTTCTTACACTACAACAGACCTTTCTTTAATGTCAAAAACTGATTTCTTTGGGAAACTTTTTACCACTTAGAAGTCACATTGTTATATCATTTTTTTCGTCCGAGTATTGAATTTTATATGAATTTTTACTGCTTGCTGCTCTGATTTTAGAGTGGACTGTCACCCTTTCCCATCTAAACCCACCCTACGGTACGGTTGTGACACTTAGCACCTAAAAATCAGCTCTAACATTTTGAGATCTTAATTTTCAATTTTGTCAAACAATACATTTTAAAATTCTATGAGATTTATTTTTCAAGATAGCCAATAGAACTAACACCAAGATACTTGGATATTTGCTAGTTTTGAAATATAGAAAAAAACAGTTTATGTATTTCCTTTATAATCTGTCAGAAACCAAGCAATGAGCAACTAGATTTACATGTATTTTATCAAATGCTCGACTTCCACCTCTTTGCATTTGTTTTCCTGTTAAAATATGGTTTTCCCTATGTAATGATTTCACTAAATTTATGTGACCATTTATCAACCGGATGAAAACTATACTAGAATGGGAACAATTAGAGCACTTATCTTCATTCTTAATTTTAAAAAATAAAAATAAATTTAAAGAATGATCAATTGATAGGTTAAACCACAGAGGCCTCTGCTTTCTTTGGAGATTGGTATTTCCCAAAATAATATGTTCTTCCAAACTACAGGGAATTATATAAATTATGTGTGTTGCATTCAACCATTTTATGATATATAGGTCAAAAGAATGAAATTGACATTTCAAAGAACCTCTTTCTAATAGAAGAAAAGTAACTTTGTCTAATTCAAAAACAAACCTGTTATACTACCACAGACACTATTACGCACAATATAATCATTTGTACATGTTAAAATTTGTATGTAAAGGTTAGGGAGTGCAAGTCTGTTCAAACTCTTTTCCTTCATTGCATGGGAATCAATTGGATGTTTCTTAGGAACAAGACACCTAGTGAGAGTAATATTAAAACAGTCAATTTCCACTTCATAGGTAACTTAAAGGATGTTTCCCCTTCCAACGAATTGACTGAGATTCTTCCGAGTAAAAAGGTTTGTTCCTAGCATTAGTAGGTATGCTCACTAATCTGCACGCCACATTTTGGCATTATAACTAATCTCACATTTCTATGTTCATCATTTACGACATCCATATGTGCACATTTCTGTCAATAGCAAATTCAAAGTGTACATTGACATAAAGAGCAAAATTTGGAAAATTTCGTATTAGATTCTTTCAACAAATGTTGAAGAGAGAATTTTCTAATTCAACAAATCATGGTGGTCTTCTCATTCAAATTTAGTAAACAATGTAGTAGAAATAAGTAATCTGATTCAACATGTGATGTTTTATTAAATTTCCTTGCATTAGATATTTTTTTGTTTTGTCCTTAGCTGTTTTCACAATGTGACGTAACAAAAAAAAAAATTTGTTACTAATCAAATTTTTTTTTTTTTTTGGCACTAGTCACTTCAAGAGAGCAGTTACAAAATGATGAAAGGGCAACTACCCTGATTCGGATAAATTAATAGCATACATATGAATAAGAAAAATGTCTACGCCTAAGATATTATAACTGATTCAATATCAAGGGTGAAGGAAGGAAGCGTACACAGTAAACTCTCTTATTTAGTCCTTTAAGTTCAATTGATAAATGAGTTCTATTAATCTATCTAATCAATATTTGATTCTTAGTAATTGTTATATAATAATTTATCGGTGGCTTATGCATAAACTTCTAGATCAAGTGTGCATAAATCAGTAGTAAATTGTCAAAGAAGCGTATGGTGAGCTTTTAAAGAAGGCATCGCCCCATGATACATTTCAGATTTAATCATCATATATCAATTCAATCTCATTTTAGATGTTCATTGCCATCTACATTTCAGATTTGATCATCATATATCAATTCAATCTCATTTTAGAAGTTCATTGCCATCCCTTTAAAAGTTGTTCTCGATCATCGAGAAAGACATGGCTTCAATTTAAAGGTGGGTACTTGAACCATAACAGTATGATTAAAATATTGTTGTTAACAAGTTGCACTACTTGTGGCTACAATGGCCAATCTCATGTGACATCTGATATGTATTTACTTAAAATGTTTGGAAATGGTAAAAGAAGGGGAAAAAACTTGAATTTAAATGCCGAAAAGAATGAAAAAATATAACAAAAAAGAAAAGAAGAGAGACGAGGAAAATAAAGATAAAAAAAATGTTAAAAAGAGAAGAACGCGCTTTATTTTTTGTTGCTTAAATTTGTAACTAGTGGTACTTGAAAACGGTATAATTATTACCATATCATCATGTCATATAAGAAACCTATATTGAGGTCCATGTCCTTGTGCAAAGCACATACCTCTTCACTAGTAACATAATTAGAAATGCATTACTCACTTTGTGCGTTGGGATGCTTCGTGCATATACTGAACATCTTGAGCAGATATCACTTACAGAAATGCATTACTCTCTCAAGTTGCACTAGTAATAAATTTATCCTAATAATAGACATCATTTTTTTCACCAGCATTGATTAGTATACTCTTCATTTGGTACAAAACATTTTGATTATAGCACATCTTATTAGAAGACTTCACCTCACATTGTTGATAAACATTTATGATCATCCTGGAGAATTTTAGCTTCACCTCTAATATTAATAGTCCTTGGGAACAAAAACTAATAGACGTAAAAGTGGGGCTTAACAATGGTGTGAACATTGTCAAGTTTGCTGGAGGATTTTACTTCTCAGCAGAGCCCATGCTCTCGTCAAAGTAGAATATGAAAAGTCCTACATTGTAACATGAAAGGCACATGGGCACAAAGGAAAAATGACGAGCACAGTGTGTTTTGTTCAAAATTTGTTCAAGTACAGAACTTGGAAGGAAACTAATGGGAACGCTTATTGAAAGACAATGAGGGTCGATATAGAAGAGCATAAAATGATTAAAATATATATATAAATATATATATATATATATATATGTATGCTGTTTACATGTTCCAAATGAAAATAAACAGGATAAAAAATTCACACAACAAAACAAGATAGGGACTCCACACAACTTATTCTAGCTTGAAAACCAGCGTAAAACTTGTCATGACCAATGTGAACATATATCCTTTTTTGAATTGGATACCAAGGAGTCCATTCCATGTCCCCTTGACAAAGTGTTGCAAAGTATTGATAAAAACAAGGCATCTCTTTTGGTTGCTAGGGTAAAAGGGCCTATTTTACTATTTTTTTTTTTTTCATAAGGTGTTCCAGAGATTTTCTTATTGATTAAGAGCCATTTAAAGGAAATCTATAAATTCATCCCCTAGTTTATTAGGTAATTATCCTTCAAACTATAGTCCTTCTCATTTTCTATTCTTAAAAAGAAAAAGAAATGGATGCTATTATGGCAAACACCAACCCTCGTAGGCCATGGTGACCATGTCTAAGGTGCGAGGGTCACGTGTCCAACGAGTATTAGAGAAGTGACCATGTCTAAAGGTGCGGAGTCATGTGACCGTGTCTAAAGGTGCGGAGTCATGTGACCATGTTTTATGAACAAAATTTTCCTTAGAAAAACATAATTCAAAAACAAATTATCCCCCAAATATTAAAAAGTAACCAAATTTTAGTTAACACAACTAAGATCATAAGTAAAGAAATTATAAAATGCTGCAACTGAAAACAAAGCATTCCTCAAAATTATGCCAATGAAGCAAATGCCAAGAAAGGATGTAAATAATTTTCCTGAATTCCATGATGTCTAAGTGAAGCAAAAAATTTAATAATACAGCTATTGTGTTCATCACCAAAATTCTAGCATATATCTGAATCTCTCTTTTTATGGGTCGAGTGATATGCGTTATAAGCCCAATTCTAGCAGCCTCAAGGTAATTTTTCATTTCCAATATCAGTTGCATAGGAAAATATCTTGCATATGGTTTATTCATGCACTTGGTTATGATTTAAATAGTCTATTTCATTATGATACGCAGAAGAAAGAAGAAAATATCTTACCATCAATCCCCGATTGCGTGAGCGAGGAAGATCTTGTATATATTTTTCAAAAGCCTCTAATCTTACTTTCCCTTTAACTTCTAGAAATTCAGACCAGTTGACATCAAGCAACTTCTCACCGCTACATAGAAATATGTCATTGACGAAGTTAAATATATATATATATTATATATTCAACCTACAAAAATACAAGGGATATAGCTTCGTAGGTCACAAGCTTATTGCCCCACAAAAAAATTGAAACAATGCTTCCTACAATGTTCTACACTGCTAAAAATATCCTAGTGAATGCATGTAAACAAACTTGGGAAAGAACAAGCAAAACCAAGTAAAAATGCCCTTACAAAGAAGTAGAAAATACCAAAAGATTACACTAGGTGGAGCTATTGGGTCATAAAATAACCAATTTTCCTTTTTATACAACTGCATAAGACCAAGATAATCAATAAAACAAGACAATCCAACACCTGATAAAAAGAAATACTGAATGTCATCCCAAGTTATATTGCTTAACTTGAAACTAAAAATAATAAAGAGGAGATTACTCCCTATAAAAGGAAGAAAAAGCATCACATCATCTTGTTGAAAAATCTTCAACACTAAAGCATATCAAGAGGCATATTAGCTCATGTTATGATATAGGGTTCCATATGTTGTAACTGTAGTACATAATTCATTGGGGAAACCATCATATAAATATGTTGATGCATGCAAGTGTATTTCAGTATTCAATTTCAACAATGCCAAAATCATTGGCACCAAGAATGTTGCACAAGCATGTTATCTGTGCCAAGAGACATGGAGCAAGTAAGCAACCAACTCTTTTAAGTATCTCATTAAATAACAAGATCACACAGGTAAAATTCGTTTTTCAACCCCATCTAAATAAATAAATAAATAAACAACCAACAGTGCTTTTTGTTTTGCATTACTATCTCATCCATCTAAGTTAGGTCCCTACAATTCCTTTCCACCATGCCCTTGGATACGAAACTAGGAGAATCTTTTGTTGTTGCAAAACCCTAGTAAGCTATATCCATACCCATTGCTACAACGGATTTGAGAACCATGAAAGACACTATAATGCATTTACTCTGAAGGGAGTGAGGGCTAATTTTTCACCCACATTTGTTTATTTAATAAGCCAGTTCATAAATGATTTAAATGCTGACAGAAGCAGTTGTATTGTTTTCCTGATATATTGCTCATTCTTCTGTCAAATGCTAATGTTTCCATGTTGCCTTTTGTTTCACACAAGGCACACAAATGTGTAACAGGTTTCCGAATTTTAAGCAAACATCAATTTGAAGCCATCATTTATTTTGTCACTGTTATTTTAACTTCGTGTTCCAAGTTAAGAAGTTATTGTGGCCAAAAGATAAGTCTTAGGTCAAATAATGAGGAGGAAGTGTTGTGACGTTCTTGTGGAGAAAATCATATTTAGATAGGAAACCACAAACCAAAAGTTTATGAAAATTTTTGGGTAAACAGTGACAGATGAGTCAGATGACCCAAATCCACCTGACCTCAACAATACCCCTGGTGTTGTCATACGACGTCACTGAAAAACTGGTGTGAAATTTAAAGAACATCATTACGAGTTTACGACAGTATCTAATTTGTCACACATTCCAGCACGGGGAGAACCTGTACCTCAAACTAGTTCTTATCACCTGTGTCTACCCTAATATCCCGTTCTTGTACAAGAGCGGAAGCGAGAAAAGAAAAGCAGGTTTTAGATACTAGACTAAAGACTCTAGTTTGAGACTTGAAACTAGCAAATACGAGATCTTAATAGCGCTCATGGCGTAACTCGAACATGGCATTAAAAGAGGGATACGTATAGAGATCAAATCGGATGGATAAGAGCTTGATTGTAGGGATGCTGGGAAGGGTCGAAATCTCTCTATCCAAGTGCAGCTACTGTTTTTGAAGCACCCTCCAAGAGTTCGGGTGAAATCTATCCTTAGGGACATCTCTTATCTACCAACTTATGATGCTCTGGAGATGATGTCCTTTATTTGATTTGAGAATGCATCCCATTTTAAGTAAATCAGCTATTCTAATCACTCATTGGCCTTCCATTATTCTGAACATCATCCCCCTTCTAAAGTGTCTATATGAATAACTGGGCCTGAAAATAAGAAAATAGAGGAGAAGAACAGGTGGTAAGAAACAGAAAGTGGAGAATGAGAAAAAGAAGACTTCCAAGAGGTTGATCAGAATGCTTTTGTGATATCAATAATCCTGAATAACCTGTGGTATCTTCTGCAAAACATCTCAAGCCACATCCTGAGCTAAGAAATCCTAATTGCCTACTACCCCTATCCCCATCTACAGAGGACAAGGTTTAATGGTCCCTTCCCAAACCTCCCAATTTTGATTTTCCCACACACTGCAAGGGCTTCATGCAATTCTCAAATCACTGTGTTCTCACAACTCGACAGCAGAATCAAACTCTCACATCTTCTTCAAATGTTTCCTCTCCTCACACATTTGGAACTTCTATAAATCTTCTCTTGAATTCTATAAATCAAGCTCTCACATCTTGTTGAAACAGAAAGTAAACAAAGAGAAAAAGAAAAATTCCAAGAGGGAGTGCACAAAAGTGACTTTTAAGCCTTTTGATTTGTGAAAAGAAAGTGACATAGGACAGAGGCTTAAGCAGGGGAATCATTGCTGCCCTATGATCAAATGCGGTAGGCTAGGACTTCAATCTTTGGGGTTTATAAATGAGAAGGTGAGATTAGGCTATGCGTTAAGGACAGATTAAGGCTTGAATCTGTTGAAGTTTTAAGGCTAATTTTAGGATAGAGATTGCAAGAATTTCTGCTCAGTAAGGGAAAAGTAGGGCTTGCAACTAAAATAAGAAGGATTTCAGCCATACAGTGGTGAATTCGTTCCTGAGCCTTTTAGGGTTATGGTTTTGGAATGAATTTAGGATTTTAGACGCTGCTTGCACCATTTTCAAAATTTTCATTGAGATAAATACATCTTTCCATGGATACCCTCTTAAGTTTTGAAAATTTACCAGCTTGCTAATTAATATATATATATATATAATTTAAACTTCAAAAGAGAAACTTCGGAATTTTATAAGGGTACATTGCATTAAGTGGATGTCCCCTAGAAAAGTTGCAACACCGAAAAGGGACTACTAAATGTGAGGCTTACAACTAAAATAAGAAGGGGTCAGCCATACGGCGGTGAATTCGTTACCGAGCTTTTTAGGGTATAGATTTTGAAATGAATTTAGGATTTTAGAATCTGATTGCCTCAAAATTTTCAATGAGATAAATGTATCTTTCCATAAATAACCTCTTACGTTTTGAAATTTTTACCAGCTTGCTAAAAGACATAAATATATATATATATATATATATATATATATATATATATATATATATATAAAACTTCAAAGTGTAACTTGGGAATTTTAAAAGAGATAATGCATTAAGTGCATGTCCCCTTGAAAAGTAGCAACACCGAAAAGGGACTATTAAATTGGAACAGAGGGAGTATATCTTATAAACACAGCAATGAAAATTACAATTTTTAGGAGCAGAAATTAAGTATAAACTGGTCACACACAAAGTAACTTAACCCTGTGTGTACAAGAATTATCCTCTTTGTATTAAAATGGAAAGGTACACCTTGCCTCTCATTCTCCTCTCTCTTCCCTTACATATCCATTTCTTCCTTACCCTACTGCCTTTTGGAGGCTACGTATTGGGCCTATCTATGGTATATTATGTAGTCTAGTGTATATTATGTATTCTAAGCAAGTTATATGATATGAATACATTAAATGAAACCCTACTTGGTTAGTAAGATGAGAATTTACATTTTTACTTATCAAAAAAAAAAAGATGAGAATTTACATTTTTACCCTTTCTTATCCTTCAAATACTGTGTTCAAAGTCCATGAGTCCGGAGCAAAATCTAATTGTAACTAAGCTAACTTTTGATGATAACTATAACAAAATCGGAATTACATAATCCAACTTTTGGTACGAATTTTGCCAACACTAAGTCTTAATAACCTAACAGTTTTGGATTCCAACAACATAGTGGTCCATGAGTAGGACTAGAAGCCTCTCTCAAATATCACCTAATCCAAGTTGGAAAAAGTAAGTAGGGTGGGTCAAATAAAACCCTATTGCTTATTTGGTATAAGGAAAGGGAAATTCAAATGACCAGTAGGCACAATAGATAGAAAGGGTAATCAGAATCCCTAGGAAAGTAAGGTGTCTCATTTCTTGTTTGGTTCAGCAGGAAGGAATATGTTGTTTACAGAGCAAAAAAAATGTATAAAAAAAGAGTCAAACCCTTCTTTCCTTTCCCTCCCCATTTTCCTTCTATCAAACAACGGAAAGCCTATCATTGTTTCCCTCCCCTTTTCCTTACTCCCATTCTTCTTTCCTACCAATAAGACGTGCATGTCCACTAATATTAATGTGTTGGAGAAGTTCCACTGGAACATGTGAGAACAGAGAAGTATGAGTCTTCAATATGCAACCTACAAATATTACTAAAATTAGAATCTCAACATTATAATTATGGGAAACAGCTTAAAACATAAAGTAAACTCAATAACAAGCTCAAATTACAAAACAAATAAAATTTCATGTGTAAAATGGAATATACAACAAAATGAAAACCATAATTTCAGTATAAAAAATAACAACATGTGTCTACTAAAAGAAATGTGAGGAAAATTGACTCAAAATAGTTTGCAAAGCATGCAATGAACCTACAAATAACATACAAAAGAATAAAGGCAAATCACATTGATTGGCATCAAAGAACTCTCCTGAAAATTAGACAGATGATACAGTACTTGTTGAATGATCCAAATAGAACCCACTTGATAAGCACTGAATATTTCATATTCAAGCCCTTAAACGTGCATATGTTAATGCCTTAGCGATGCCTTTATCTTGGTTCTTACATTTTGTTTTTGTTCATTTGCTAATTGTAGGTCTTTACCAGAAGATATGGACAATTTCATGGATTTGAAGCTTATGGCGATGTTCTCGATGCTTAAGAAGATACTACGAGCCTTTCGGGTCAATTTGGGACTCAACCAGGAAGATTTGACGAAATTCAGGCCCTAGAGCTCGAGCACAACTTCTTAGTGCTCGAGCACTGATCAAAGAAATTCAGGAAAAAAACTAAGTGTTGAAGGAAAAAATGCTTCGGAAATTGTAGATAAAAAGAATGGCCAAGTGTTGAAGCTTAGTGCTAGCGCACCAGAAGCCAGAGCTCAAGCACTGAGACCTAGTGCTCGAGCGCTAAAGGTCAAAACTCGAGCACTAACCTCCCAGAAGTTTCCAAAAGCTGCGGGAAAGTTGTAGAATCTCTCTTCTTTGTTCCTTTATGGGCCTAATAGTCCCCAAAAGTTGTGAAGCCCATCCAAGGGGGATTAGGACTTGCTCTCCACTATAAAAGAGATGAGAAGACACATTGAAGCTTCTTCTTCTTCTTCTCCCTCTTCTTCTACCTCTTAGCGGCTTTTAGGGTTTTAAAGATAAAAGATTCCAATTGGCGGTCCATGGAGAATATTTCTGCAACAACATTTCTGCAACAACGATGATATCTTCCTTCTCCATGAGTAGCTAAATCCCTTCTTAGGGAATCGATATAACCCTAGTCAGAGTAGCATGGTTTGATTGTTCTTAACTTTGGAGATTTTTCTATGTATATTGGTTGCATGATTGTGAGCAATTGAATTAGTTGTACTAAGCAATTGGGTTTTAATGAATAAAATCAGTTTTAATAAAATTAATCTTGTTTTAATTGAATTCAAACTTCTTTTATTGTAAGAGATTGGCGGCTAAGGGCTTCTCTTAATGGTAGAAGTGGTTATCATGCAATGGTGTTTAACAAATATATGAACAAATGTTTTAATAATTCATGCTTAAGGAAGACCAGTTGTACCCCATGGTAGATTAGAGTAGTTAGGTAGGCAATTCATGCCAACCGAAGATGAGTTATGGCTTAGTGTTTATTCATGTATACTTTCTTAATTGAATTGAAGTGCGCTTGTAGCCACATGATTCCCGAATATGCATAAGTGTGAATTCCCTATAGTCGAGACAATTGACCATGTTATGAGGCTAGTGGTGAAGTTAATCTCTAAGTTCTTCTCACTTTGATCTCATCCATTGTTAATTTAGTTTATTTTCAGTTTTATTGCAATTTTGAAATAGAAAACAACAAAATCATTGTTCTCTTGAATTGAATTATGATTAATTTTACACTTAACAATACCAACACGGTCCTTGAGGTTCGACACCCTCAATATAGCCATATCCTACGAGGATTCGTTCTATTGCGAGTGGTTTTATAATTGAAAACATAAACATCACCACCACAACTCCTACAATTTGCTACCTAATTTCCAACAACCGTTATTTTTACGCCTATAACTTGTATGAAAAACTTGACCAAAAGAGGGAAAAATAGCTATTGGCAAAAAGTAGGACATTTTGCCTACCCTCCCATGGGAATGGGGAGAGAGAGAGAGAAGCAAAAGTTACAAGATTCTGCCAACTTAAGTTGAGCTGATTTGGAATTAAGATGAACACTTGCACACCTTTATTCTTAAATGTATAGAATTTAAGGCCTTGAATGAAAGGAAAAGTGGAATTGTGCCATCCTCCTGCTCATTTGGTTGTTATGAGAGGTAAGGAATAGGACTTCTGATATTTATTTAATATTGAATTGTTTATAAAACCAAAACCAACAAATAATCATTGGGCATTTGGACAAGAAACCCTAAAGTAATGGTAGCCCCATAAGACCTTCTTTACATTTTAAAGAACTAATGGGCAAGTTGAACAAGTATCTACTTTGTTTAATAGCTAACAAATTAAATTTCCTTTTAAGATCTAGTACTATTTGAGCAATCAGGCACATAGAATGCTAGCCTTTGGCCTTTTATAGTCTGCACCATAAAATTAAAGGATGCCACATTTAAAAGGGAAAGAAAATTTTGAATTACACAAGAGAGGTAACGCACAGACTTTATAAACATAAGTTAATTTTGAATTATACAATAATTGTAGTGATTTTGTACACAAGAGAGGTAACACACAGACTTTCTAAACATAAGTTCTCTTCGAATAGACCATTTAAATAATGAAAGCCAACAGACCCTATCTGGCATCACTAGACTTTCGACACTTTCCTGACCAAAAGGGAAAGAAAATTGGTTCAATCGTAGCAATTTAGTATATATGAGAAGTACCGTATAGGACTTCTGAACATAAATTCTCACCAAACAAGACCATGATAGCTTCCGATCTGATTTTACAAAAGTGTGTTTATCAATCATATTACCAAATATACGTCAAAGGATATACCACTTCCCCCCAACCGCCAACTGAATTTTCCATTACACTTTTCTTTGTTTTACTTTTTCTTCTCAATTAGAGATCCCTTTTTTACAGCATCCTCAATTTAATAAAAAGTAATATCCAATCTAATAAGTATAATACTTATAACAATGAGAAATTTTGAATATGCATAACAATTATTATATTTGTTACAATTATCCCTTTCAGCACTTATTAATTTTTTTCGCTTGTCAAACAGAAATGTTACAATGATTCCATGTAAATCAATAATGATTCATATACAAGAAAAGAAATATGGTCAAGGTATAATAGTTTCAAAATCAAAACAAACTATTAAAAAAAGTAGCTGGAGAAACCTTTTAAAGAAGGCAACTGCAGACACAATGACTGACGAATTTAGCTGAAGAGACCCATCCCAAAGCTTTTCAGCCAATGTACAAGCTGCTTTCCCAGAATGTAAATTACTCTTTTCATCTAATTTGGGAGAGATATGACTCAGGTCATTTTTCTGACCATGCTCCACGACATTGGCAGGATTATGCCCATTTGGCGAAAAGTCCTCTTTCAATAAAGACTTAAAATTATCCACATCCAATACTTCTGTTTTATCCTCTGTTTTGATATTGCCACCCTCGTGACCTCCTTTATTTTCAGATGCGTCACTTAAATGATTACCTAAAGCAACATTGCCTAATTGTACTTCATTTTGCAGCAAACTATGATTTTCGTTTTGCTCAGTGCAAACCAAAGCTCCCAAAGAGACAGTTCCTACAATTAAGACATCATTAGTTTCTGCATCATAAGAACAGTGACCACTTTGATTGAATGCACAAGAAATTCTGTACTTACTGGATTCTTGAGCACACGTACTTCCATTCAAATCATCAGAAAACCTATTGGGTGCTAGAAAGTTCTGTTGCAAAATTTCCATAGGTCTCAAACATTCAGAAACATTATTGCACATTTCCAGTGGCACTTTATTTGTGACTACATGATTCTTGACCCCAAAGCTCATTGAATCTTGCGAACCAGGATCAATCTGAGCTTTTTCTGTATGTCCATTATTTGATTTTAAAAAGGGCGAATATTTATAAGCTTCATTCCAGTCCAACATATTTACTGCCTGGGGTTGTCGATTTGAAGCTGTGAAGGTCTCCCCCAACGACATGTTAACTGAGGGGAAGGATCCTTTATAATGTAAAAATGGAGGTGGCATGCTTAAAGAAGGGCTGCTTATTTTGTCAATCTCACTTCTATTTGTATTCCCATAACTAGTCTGCCATGTATCTGCAATATTATTTTGATATCGAAATTGATCTTTTTCATATTTACGCCTGAAAGTAAATGGTTCTACAGAATTTTCTTGGTTTAAACACGGTCCATGAGTATTCCTTTGGGCAGTTACCCTTGAAACAAAACTAGACTGTTGTACGTTTGACTCCCATGGTATGCAAGGAATGGCACCTGGCTGATCCATAACTGTAAATTTCCTTTTTTTTGATAAGCCACCAAGAAAATCTATATCATGATTCCCACCAGGGGGAGGTGGGAGGATCTTGTTCTCCATATGAGCCTCCTGAAACCTTTTAGGATAATTTGTCTGACCTGGTAAAAAGAAACTCTCTTTTCCCCCGTGCCACATATCTCCAAAATATGATAATCCTCCACCAAGCTTCAGCACGTGCAAGTAACCATGTTAATCCAGGTTACTAGCAGACAAAAGACCTGTAAACGGAACAAAAAGCCATTGCCAAGAAAACAAGAACTTAGAAGTACCCCAATTGTTAAAAACTATTTAAGTGCATCATGATGTAACTATTAGTAATATTTTGCTTAAGAATTGGAATTGGAACTTTATTTTTCATACATTATCTAATAACTATCATGTCAACAGTTATAAGCAGATAAGATAGTGATAAAATAATCAGCACACTTGCATTTGGGAAGTAATATCAAAATTTAGTCCAACACTTCAAAACGCACTAGTCTTTCTTTTAGTAAGAGAACTATGAATACAAAACAAAGGGAGAGGTGTTCTCGGATGATAAAAAAAAGTACAAGAAATAAGAAAAGGCAAACGAACTTTTTGATTTCACAACGCCAAATATTAGAAGTCTAGAACAGATTGGATATTGAATGTTGGCAGCAAATTTCAGGTGTTAACATAACCTTGCTACCCTTCACCGAGAGCAAATTAAATGTTTTGCGAAAAGGTAGAAGAATCCAGAATCCCTTGATAAAATTGAAACAAAAATTTCATGTTATTAACAACAAGTACAGACTCAAAAGCCTAAATGAAAATGACAAGGACCAGATGCAATAGGGTGATAATGTTCAAAACATCTGCTACTGCTATTAAAAAGTTTTTAACCAAAGTCAGATAGTTTTACCATTTTGGCAGCCTGTGTGAGGGATACCCTTTAAACCTTGGCGCAATTATAGTTTCTTGCTTAAATTTCAAAATTAAAACCATGCACATTTCTAGTCATCTGTTTTCAACAACATACTCACGAACCATATAAGCATTTAGCGACAAGAGGGATGGTTCAGTAATAATGTTACTGTCTCTGTATTTAGGAATTCAGTAAATGATCTGAACCTGGTTATAGTTACTTGTTTAGAATTCAAAAATAATATCTCGCTCATCTCTAATTATATGGTATTTTTAATACAATATCCACAACCTAGAATTTAAGAACTTTTTTAGGTAAGTAAATTTTAACCAAAAAGTTTGAAGAAAAAAAATGACCACACTAGGGAGACAGTGCTAGATGAACAATTCAGTAAAGAAGTTAACCACATTAGTGATTAGGAAAATCCTACGAAACGATTCCTAGTGAATAGCCAATACCTAGTCAAACTTGATGCTGCTAGAAGATTAATTTTACAAAGACAATACTTTTGCATCAATTTGCAAAAAATGCTCTGATGAAAATCACTGTTTTGCCCTGCGTGGTCCAACCTCGACCTCCCTTTTGGGGAGGTCAAGGGTTCAAGCTATAAGGGGAACAAAATATATGTTTGTTGCTTACTTACAGAGAAAGAGAAAATTATGGAAATCAATCGTGTGCATTGCATAAGCCATTTATTTGGCAAAATGACCATTATATTGTTTGGTATTTCATTCAGTTATTATTTTATATTTTTACTTTAAACATAGATAATGCAATTCTAGAAATTTCACAATGTTGCTAACAGCAATCTGAAATCAAGGGGGCTAAGCCAATATGCGTTGATCTGCCTGAGGAGATTTTGAGTGAAATAAACAATCAGAGTGATAGTAGCATGTGTCACAACTATAAGATAAATTGATTAAAAAAGGGAGTGCAGAGTACACTACTTTTCTGTAATCACACACACACTCACTCAAAGGTGAACTGCACCATTCATGATCAACGCTTGATTTGGATATAGATAGGCAAAAAATGGCCGAAGCTCTTGAAAGTTGAACTGATTCTTATCTAGTTATTTGCATTACCATTAGACAAAAAATAAGACAAGTCGACCCTTACATATGAGCTTAAAAGTCTCGGGGGAAGCAGGGGTGGAACCAGGATTCTACAATAGGGGGGGCGAAAGAAATTTTATCATACACGAGTTAGATGTAATACAAGAGTATTTAAAATACCATACATGAGTTAGATGTAAGACAAGACTATTTAAAAATCAAAAGCATTCCACTCTCTATAATTATGTACACGAAAATAAATCTAGGCAATTACAAAAAATAATAATAAATAAATAAATAAAATTAAAAATAGATCAATAGAATGCACGATAGTTTGCAACCACTGCACAATAATGATAATAATAATACTTAAGCCTATCCTAAAGTGGAAAAGCCCAACTTTCACCCTGTTAGAATGTTTTATATATATATATATATATATAGATGTTAGGTCATTATGTAATTACATATAGTTGGTAGGCCCTTGTGTTATTAGGTTAACCTTGTATCCTTTATATAAGCCTACATAGGCTTATTAGGTTTAGTGATCATATATGAAATACACAGAGATTTCTCTCTCTCTTTTATCAGTTTGAACATGGTATCAGAGCGGTACGAAACAATAGGAACCTAAGATTGTAGTTGTGATTGAATCTGGGTTGTTCTTCTACAAAATCCAAATCAAGATTGAAGTCGATTATGTTCTTCGCTGAAGGTTTAGCCGTCGTTTTGTTCAGAACCGGAGGTTTGAAGCTGTCGTTGTGTTCAGCGCTTCTTGTCCGTCGTTCTCAGATCTAAAGCCTTTTGTTTTGTTGGCCGAGGCTTCCTTGACTGTCGCAAGTTGCAGAGGTTCCGCTCGGTTGTTAGATCGCTACTTGTGTTAGGTTGCCGTCACCGCTGCAAGGGCTAGGGTTTGTACTAGCCTTGATTTTCCATTGCGAATCTCGGGTGCTGGAATTTCTTGTCGGTGGCAGAGTTCTGGTTCTCGCCGGCGCTGATTGTGAAAGAGAAGGGTGGTGTTTGGCTGCAGGAGTGAAGCTATTCTAACCCTGGTTTACTAAACCTGGGATAGTCCAGACCCGGCCCGTTTGACCAGTTCCGACCCATTTCCCAAGGTCGGGCCCGTTTCCTAGGTTCGGCCAAAATACATATTCTACATTTTTTTTTTCTTCTTCTCTGTTTTTGCTGGGTTCACCATGGCGTCCAGTTCAGATTTGCTTTCTTCCACATCCCATCTTCATTCTCCCATGACTTCAGTTAAACTCAATGGGAAGAATTACATACTGTGGGCTAAATTGGTTGTAATTTTTCTCAAAGGTAGAGGTCTTGGTACTCATCTGACTAAAGGTAAACTCAAGGCCACTGATGCTTCTTTTGATACATAGGAAAAGGAAGATGCTCAGATCATCTCTGTGATGTTAAATAGTATTGAACCCCAAATCAGTTCAACCTTACTTTATTTGGACACTGCCACGGAGATATGGGACAGATTGCAGCAATTGTATTCTGGGACAGGTAATATCACTCGTGTTTATGAGCTCTGTAAGCAGTACTTCAATCTTGAACAAGGTAATCACAGTATAGAAAAGTATTATTCCAAGGTTATGTGAGTCTGTGAGGAGCTGAATATGTATCAGCCCATTACCGCTGATGTTCGTAGTATGCGACAACAATGTGAGGACTTTAATGTTGTTCGTTTTCTTACTAGTTTGTCATCAGTCTACGAGTCTTTTCGTGCACAGATTATGGGCAATCCCACACTTCCATCTCTTGCTGAAGTGTTTTCTCGACTTCAGCGTGCTACACTTGCTAATGGTACTTCAACTTTGAATACTGGGCAGAGTGGTGAGCGTTCAGCATTGGTAGTTTCAAAGGGTGACCATAGTGCTTACCGTGGCGGTTGTGGGGGACGCTCCACACGTGGTGGTTGTGATTCACGGGGAAGACGTGGCCGTGGCAGGGAATCACGAAATGCACTCATTGTGGCCTTTCTAATCATACTGTGAATTTTTGTTGGGACCTTCATGGCAAACCATCTCGTTATGCAAATCAAGTTTCCTCCTCTCCGAATGATGTTGCTTCTGGATCTCACAATGTAGCTGAATTAGATACAGTCTCTGTTCCACGTGATGATTATACTCAATTTTTGTCTTATAAGCAAGCATCTAATTCATCTTCCACGACTACCTTTGCCCAGTCAGGTCTATTGTCTTCCACTAGCAGTCCTTGGATCATAGACACTGGAGCATCCGACCATATGACTGGATGTTCTTCTCTTTTATCTGATTTTAATTTTGTACCTTCCTCTCAAGTGTTCTGTTACATTTTATCCTACTTATTGTGTGTTTCAGGATCTCAAGGCGAAGAAGGTGATTGGTGCGGGACATGAAGTTGGTGGCTTATATTACTTTGATTTGGAACCTTATCCTGTGGCTCTTCAGTCTTCTCTATCTCCATTCCAGTGGCACTGTCGGCTTGGTCACCTGTCACTTCAAGTTTTGAAGCGTCAAGTTCCTAGTCTTAGTCATTTGAAATTCTTGTCATGTGAAGTTTGTCAACTTAGTAAACATCATCGCGTGTCTTTCAAGTCTAGGGTTAATAATCGTGTCTCTAGTCCTTTTCATTTGGTTCATTCAAATGTATGGGGTCCAATAAAACATTCTTCAATCAATAACTTTCATTATTTTGTGACATTTGTGGATGATTATTCTCGCCTGACTTGGTTGTTTCTAATGAAAGATCGTTCTAAGTTATTTTTAATTTTTCAAAAATTTCAAAAAGAAATCAAAACTCAGTTTGGATGCCCAATTCGTATTCTACGTTCTGATAATGCTAAGGAATATTCTTCAACCCCCTTTGATACATATCTTAGTGATAAAGGAATTATTCATCAAAATTCATGTGTTTATACTCCTCAACAAAATGGAGTCTCAGAACGTAAGAATCGACACCTTTTAGAGGTAACCCGTGCTCTTTTGTTTCATACGCGTCTGCCTAAACGGTTTTGGGGTGATGCTGCTCTTACTGCCTGTCATCTTATTAACCGTATGCCATCATCTGTATTAGATAGCAAATCTCCATATTCTATTTTATTTCCTGATTCTCCCTTGTTTTCTCTTACTCCTAGAGTTTTTGGCTGTGTATGTTATGTCCACAATCTTGGTCCTGGTTTTGATAAACTAGACCCTTGTGCCACAAAGTGTGTATTTCTTGGCTACTCTCATTCTCATAAAGATTATCGCTGCTATAGTCTTGTTTCTCAAAGGTATTTTATTAGCGCGGATGTAACCTTTTGTGAATCCATCCCATATTTTTCAGATCCTGATTCACTTCTTGATATCACTCTTGAATCGCCTCTTCCTGCGGTTTCTCTTCCCTCACTGTCTCTTCAACCTAGATCTCCTTCGCCTGCCCCGTTACAGGTATACACTCAAAGACCAAAGCCATCTGCTGTCGTGCCACCTCCATCGTCTTCATCGTCTTTGGATCCAACACAATCCACTGTGTCTGATTCCTTGCCTATTGCACTTCGTAAAGGTATTCGCTCGTGTGTCACTAATCATCCCATTGCTCATTATGTCTCTTATAATTCCTTATCGCCATCCTTCTCGTGTTTTTCCTCTCAGTTGTCTACTACATTTGTTCCTAAGACTGTACAGGATGCTTTGTCTGATTCGGGCTGAAGGAAGACAATGCAAGATGAAAAAGATGCTTTGCATCAGAATGGCACGTGGAATCTTGTTCCATTACCTCCATATGCCAAACCTGTTGGTTGTCGCTGGGTATATACTGTGAAGTATCTTCCAGATGGGTCCGTTGCGCGTTTAAAAGCACGTCTTGTTGCCAAAGGTTATACCCAGACTTATGGTATTGACTATGATGAGACGTTTGCCCCTGTTGCTAAGATTTCATCTATTCGTGTTTTGATTTCTCTTGCTGCTAATAGACATTGGCCTCTGTTTCAGTTAGACGTCAAAAATGCCTTTTTGCAGGGTGACTTAGCAGAAGAGGTTTATATGGAGCAACCACCTGGGTTTGTTGCTTAGGGGGAGTTTCTTCACACTGTTTGTCGCCTTAAAAAGGCACTGTATGGATTGAAACAATCTCTACAGGCTTGGTTTGGAAAATTCTCTGAGGTGGCATTAAAATTTGGTCTTAACAAATGTCAGACCGACCATTCGGTATTTCACTAGCGCACTAAAGCTGACTTCATATTTCTTGTGGTGTATGTTGATGATATTGGGATCACAGGTGATAATTCTGAAGGCATTGCTAAGTTGAAGTTGTTTCTGCAATATCGATTACACACTAAAGACTTGGGTAAACTTAGGTATTTCTTGGGTATTGAAGTTGCTAGATCTAAGAAGGGTATAAGTTTATCCCAACGAAAATATATGTTAGACTTATTAGAAGAAACAGGTATGTTGGGTGGTCATCCGGTTGATGCTCCTATGAATTCAAATATAAAACTTGTGTTTGATGAGGGTGATCTATTTAATGAGCCAGGCAGATTTCGTCGTCTTGTTGGGAAATTAATTTATCTCACTATCACTCGACCTGATATTTCATATGCAGTTAGTGTTGTAAGTCAGTTCATGGGAGCCCCTAAGATGTCACATTGGATTGTTCTTCTTCGGATTATTCGATATCTCAAGCAAGCTCCATGTTTTGGGTTACTATATAAATCAAATGGTCATCTTAGGGTGGAAGGTTTTACAGATGCCAACTGGGCGGGTTCTCCTTCAGACAGGAGATCTACTACAGGCTACTGCACATTTGTAGGAGGAAATCTTATTACATGGCGAAGTAAAAAGCAAACGGTGGTAGCTCGGTCTAGTGCTGAAGCTGAGTATAGGGCAATGGCTCATACCACTGGTGAGTTGACATGGATACAACATTTTCTAAAAGAACTTGGGTTGACAGTTGAAGCTCCTACTCCATTGTTACGTGATAATCAAGCAGCAGTTCACATTGCATCAAATCATGTGTTTCATGAGAGGACCAAACATATTGAAGTTGATTGTCACTTCATTCGAGAAAAAATATTACGTAGGAGCATCTCTACTCCATTCGTGAAGTCTGAAGATCAATTAGATGATATATTTACCAAGGCATTGGGTCATAACCGGTTAAGAACTATCTGTTCCAAGCTGAGATTATTTGATATATATTCTCCAGCTTGAGGGGGAGTGTTAGAATGTTTTATATATATATATATATATATAGATGTTGGGTCATTATGTAATTACATATAGTTGGTAGGCCCTTATGTTATTAGGTTAACCTTGTATCCTTTAAATAAGCCTACATAGGCTTATTAGGTTTGGTGATCATATATGAAATACACAGAGATCTCTCTCTCTCTTTTATCAGTTTGAACACTCCCTCAGGGTGAGAATCAAGGACATTTTTTGAATCCTATCGGACTGCACTTCTGTATCTCTTGCTTCTTTTGCTCAAAGCTTTAGTTACAATCCCCAAACAAACACTGTTCGCCACCTCTTTCGTTTTCATGCTGAAGATATGGCGATAATAAATCAATTAATTTAATATTATTTTATATGTATATGTACAAGGTATATATAATATATACATATATTGTATAAAATATAAATGTTTAGGGTAGGATTAAGATTAATATGTCAAAATGTATATGTATATTCAATATAGAAAAGAGTATTGAAAAACCAAAAAAGAAAAATAGGATTAGGGTTTTGAAGAATGAAAAATTAGTAAATTTTTTTAATAAAGAAAAATAGAAACAAATGAAAGAGGATTAGGGGGGAGAATGGACTTGCATATTTAATTTTTATCTTCTGCCCAGTCCATTTTTGTGATAATAAGTAGTTCGAACTCTCATTGCAAGAATTCATACAACCGATACTTGGTTGCGTTTATCATCTGGTGCTTTCCAAATCTATGCTTTGTTATGTAACTTTGGGTTATATTACATATATTATACATATATATATATATATATCATGTTATATTGTATTATACATATATATTAGAGGAGAATGCTATTGTATTGGGCTTAAAATAAAGTAACTAAATGTTTTATGTAATTTTGTTGGGCTAGTATTATATTACAAGAGGGCTGCAATTTTATTGCTATTGGATTGGGCTAACAGAAATTTAAGCTGATCGACAATACTACTACAAAAACTTTCATTTTTTATTTTTTATTTTTTTAATTTTATTTTTATTTTTATTTTTTTGGGGGTCCCTAGTAAGAAAGAGAATCAACCACACTAATTAAGACCCAAGGGCCTGGGATGCAATCCAAACAGGCAAGGAATGAGAAGCTTTAAATTGATAGAAACAACCACTTCTAAATTAAAAAGATTCATGGAAATGAAAGGCAGATCGAAATGGGGAAGTAATTCATTAGGAGAAGTGAATAAACAATGTATGGCACCCTATTAATGGAAATAGAAGGGAGATCTAAATGGGGGAAGTAATACACTAGGAGAAAGTGAATAAACAGATGACAGGATAGGTTCAGCACCCTTGCAAATTCCTTCTCGAACTCAAGCTCCATCTTTATTGAAGAGATATTTTAGTCATATTTTAGTGGCAAAAGGGGCATTTTTTGTATAACCTTTAAAATTATAAAAAAGAAAAAACAATAAAAGGGAGTATCACTCTCGATTATTTGAAAAAAAAAATTAAAAAAATACTTAGATAATATGCTTAATAGAACAAGTAGTCCTTTCTATCCTTTTAAAAGGACTCTTATACTCCTATTCCTCACACCCAAATAATCCACCATGTATCAGGGTTAGCAAGCAAAAAACCCTTCCAATCTAAACATCACCAACGAACCCAAAAGAGCAAGCAAAACGACCAATAGATTTCTTGCCACCAGACAATGCAACAACAAGCGAGTAGCCGATTCATCACTAATTATAAAATTAAGGTTCTTTCAAAGTTTTTTCATTGATTGTGATCTTCACATAACCGCCGTCCAACCAAATAACGCAACTTTAGAAGGACCTTTCGTGCACCATACTTCCTTCCAAGGAAACCCGAGACTGCCCTCTTCCCGAGGAATGAAAGGAGAAGTCGAAAGAGGGATTTTCCAATAAGTAAGTCCATTCATAATTTACATTATTTCTAAAGTAGAATTGAAAATTCCTAATTACAAATATTTCAATTTTCAAACCCTAAATCGAAACCCAAGCAAATGTTGCCCAAAAAAAATAAGAAGAAGAAGAAGAAAGAAAGAACTAATCGATCCAACACAAACTCTCTCGGTAATCAAAATTCAAAGAAAATCAAATATATACATAGATGAAAATATTATGTATGAATATATCTATATATACAGTCACGTGCACAAGTGATATAAACTTTAAAATCAGAATACCAAACCTCATTCGGTAGATACGAATTCGTAGGGTTTCGATTCACTTCTCTCGTTCCCACCTAATCACGATCTTTATAGATCTTCTTGACACACTCTCTCCCTCTCCCTCTCTCTCTTTCAATTCTCACTCTCACCACTTTTCTGATCGTAGGAACACTCGAGGGAAGATTGGCCGGAGTTTAAGTAGACTGATTTGGAATTATGGGTCACTCTGAACAAGGCCACGGTTAAAGGGTTCACAATAGTGCAATATGGGTCAATTGGAACAAACCCAATTTGAGGGTTCACGATATGGGCCCAAACAGGCCGACTTTTTAAGGGTCGCTAGTGCAGCCTTGTTTCTGAAAATCTGGCCACTCTCTACAAGCCCACGGCTTAGGGTTCGCAATATGGGTCAATTCGAACAAAACCCAATTTAAGGGTCCACGATAGGGTCTATCTGGGACAAAAATATATGAGTAATTAAAAATGTTTAGCTGCACTCTATCACCGTCATTTTGTCTACTGTAACACACATCTATATTAAATATATATATATATTGAATATTTAGAAATTAGTATTGTAATCTGGTTTCATATTCAATTCTATTTTTCACATTTTCTATATTTAGAGTAGAGGTGGCAATTTGTGTTTGTGGGTCGTGTTTGTGTCGTGTCAATATAAGGGTATTATACTAAATAGGTAAATCAAAACCCAACCCATTTAATAATCGTGTCAAAAATCTCAACACTAACCCAATCAGTTTATTAAATAGATAAACATATTAACCCGTTTAATGACGTATTTATCAAAACGAGACACTTAATATTTAATCAAATATTAAATAATAGAAAAAAAATTATCATAATTAACCCAAATATTCAAAATAAAAAGAAAAATCATAAGGTATAAACAATGTTTATATTGAAATGACTTAACTATTCATAATAATTGGATTTAAACAAGTAACATATTACATAGGTCATAATCACGATTATAACATGTTGAGTTAAATGGGTCATAAACGGGTTACACGAGTTGAACTCCTCAATCCTAACCCGACACGGTTAAGTAAACGAGTTAATCGTGTCGACCTTTTTATGACCCAAACTTGTTTATTCTAAATCCAAACTCTTTTAACTCATGTCGGGTTCGTGTCGTATTGTCGCGTCGTGTTGTAATTTGCCACCCCTAATTTAGAGCCCAATTTGAGTGCATGTTTAACCCTTTAATAAAGAATATTTTTCGAGCTATTGATTTGAGGGAATGAAATTATGTTTCGATAATGCACACGTTTATTACTCTATGAATAAAACAGTAAAAATAGTAACAAAAGTGTTTTAAGTAATTCTATTACCAAACAAATTTAAAAGTGTTTTAATTGTAAAGAGTGTTATATAATGTATCATCAAACACCTAATATATAACACTATTATGATGACTCTACTTATAAAAATGTTTTTACCATTACAACAACAAAGCCAAACCAACCAAACGGCCACTAGGTCTTCTTAGCAAGTCCTTTCACATGCATGAGTTTAATTTTTCTCATCATTATTTGCTTAAAAATCCTCCTGCAAATTCTCAAAGCCCAAATAATGCAACCAAGAAAATTAGAATAAATAACACCCTTCAAAATTAGAAGGTTGGGTAATATCTGATTGAACTCAAACTTAAGTTTGCCATGTTGAAAATAATAATAATAATAATAATAAATTAGAGAAATAAATTCAAATTACATTGAATTCAAATTAAAAATGATTCCACTCATAATTGTATACAAATATATTTAATTTTTAATATTTGTTTGGCTAATACTTGCCTACTTCACGCTACTTACCGCTTATGTGTTCCAATAATAAATTAAATATGTGTGTTTGAAGATTAAGAACGTAACTGATGTAGCTTTTCAAGTTTCTGCTTTGACAATATCAATAAAAAAAAATCTAGCTGATTAATTTCTGGAAAAAAAAAAAATCGTGATCAATTTGTCTATTTACTGAAAAATATATATATATATATATTTTATATCGCATTAGATGTTATATATAATATAAATTATATAATCCAATCAAGCTACATCTACAAACCCATTGAACACCCAGTAGGATGAGAATTCTCAATAATGAAGCTATTGATTGATGATATACTATAGCTTGTGAGAGGAAGAAGAATAGTGGATATAGGAGAGCGAATCTGTGAAGGCCAGGAGTGAAAGAGAGCAAATACATAGGGTTAAAGAGCGCGTCAGTTACCGGACTGAAAGATTAGGTTTTTTTTTTCTTATTTTGTTATTAAAATTAATGTGTTCATTTATTATTGGAACATCTAAACAATTAGTAGAGTAAATCAACTCATCGTAAATCGTATGAGAATTCGCAGTACAACATTACCTTGTGCAGATTCACACAGTTCACACTTCACTATTGTACCTTATTGTGTTTAATGCACTAGAAGTAATTTTGTTATGGCAAAATCGACAATTATTAAATTTATTAGTGAGACAAATTGAGCTTTTTGATTAAAATTATAGAAAATCTCACACATGATATCTAAATTAAGCAAATTAAACTCCTCAAATCCACTCTCTCATTCACACTCGAGGGGAGGAGTTTGGATTATCAAGCCATGCATAATTTGACAAAGAAACTCATTACTAAAGAAATTCAAAATGACAGTTTTCAAAAGAAATAAGCATGAAAAAAAAAAAATGCATAGTTGTATTAACTTTACAATTAGAAATATAAAAACATAATGTTAAAAAAAGTAAGAAAAACATCTTAATAATGAACCAATTATTTTTTGTAAGTAATTAATACAGATTTGTTAAAGAATTGGTTTTTTTTTTTTTTCTTTTCTATACTCCTAAAATACACCAATGTCCAACAATAATATGACTAAGTGTGATACCCCCGGATTTTCGGATGTAGGTTGGCCAGGCCCACACCCGAATACCCGAGAATATCAAAAACAAATCGGTAATAATCGAATACAGAGTACAAAATAAATATAAATAAATAAATTTATGAAAGAAAACTAAAATGATAATACATTAATTGAAACCTCGGAATAAAATTCCATTAAATAATAAATTATTCTATACAATTAATCCCACAATAATACAACTTGGAAATCCATATTGTGTGGACCCTTTAGAAAATCTCAAAATAGTAAACAACGGTCTGCAACTAGATACTGAATCATAAAGGAAACTCCTATGTAGATAATCTAGAAGAATGAAGTAGATTATCCCTTCTCAGCACGAACAATCCCTACTCCTAACGAACACCTGAAAAATAATGGTGGGTCGGGTCCACAAACAAGTTATACTCTATTACAGTCCAAGCAGAGATTCGATACACGTATACATCCTAATCAATTCATAATAACTAATAGTCTGTATATATATAGATACATACTATAGGACGCTCACTGGACTATAGGTCTGCCTCAACCTGAATAGAAGACAACATGCAAATCGCACATAAAGTGAGCATGAGTATCTAGACCTACCAGGGCACACAGATATCTACTATAACCAGTTATCCATCCCAGATAGTATACACACCCTAATCACGATCCTGAAACTCAAACTCATATCATGACACCATAATTATATATATAACATCCAGTAAAAAGTAATCATCTATAATTAATCATCTACAATTAATCATCTACAAGTCATTCAACTTGTTCAACTGACCTGACTTGAATATAAGAAAGACTTAACATTTTAGTTAATTCATTCCCTTATACAAAATTAGGTAAGACTTAACTTCTTTAGTTAATCCGTCCCTAAAATGCTACTGTCCCACACCGGTACATTACATCCATACAATCTAATTATTGATAAAAGAAATAAAACAATACATAAATAAATTCCAAAACCAAGCATAATAAAAATCAGATAATAACATGATCATATTATACTGTCAATACATGATTAAAATCATATAACATCCATATTAATTGCTAAGATATTTTTAAGCAATTAATTCCTCCATTCCATCCAATAATTGATGAAGAACTAAAACAATACATCAATTATTCCAGAGATAAGTATAATCAAAATCAGATAATTAATTGAGCACATTATACTGTTAATACATGATTAAAATCATACAATATCAATTTAAACTACTAGAATACTTTTCAGCAATTAAAACATCCATTAACAATATGCAAATTTAATTAAAATTTTATATTGTTCATCGTTCCATGGCATATAATTATTAATTATGCATTATAGGTATTTAACATGCTCATTGTAGTCATTTAAATTACCCATAATAACCTAGACTGCCTTAAAACATCCCAAACCTCAAAACAATAGCCAAAAATCCCAAAATATCCAAGTAGCAGCGATGGAGCAAGCTCTGTCCCCTTGAGAGCAAGCTCTGTCCTCGTGGAAGCAAGCTTTATCCTTGTGAGAGCAAGCTCTCGACCTGAGGGAGTAGGTTCTGTCATAAGGGAGCCAGCTCTCAATTCCATAGAGCCGGCTATCTCCCTTTCTGAGAGCCAAAAATAAAAATAAAAGGGAGCCAGCTTCATCCCCAAGGGAGTTGGCTCTGTCCCTGCTGTTCCTCTTCTTCTCTGATTCCGACGCCCTCCGATTACCCCGTCAATGGTCCTAAGCCTCTGTTTTATGTCCCAAACAATCCCAAATAATTATATAAAGTCCATACATATCTAAATCACAAATTAAAATTAGATTTCATGCAAGAACAATCAACATCAAGAAAATTCAATTTCATTAATATACTCCCTATTTTAATCTGATTTAGCATGCATACATGATGAACTTTATCTCCATTAAATCCTGTAATAAACCTAGGCATGTATAGAACACGAATCTAAAAGAGAGAGTAAAAGAAGAACTTGCCTTTAAGGTTTCGGTTTGAAATCTTTAATTGTCTTCTCCCTAGGTTTTCCGACAATCTCTAGCTGTCATCAAGACCCTCTATTGCTCCTGGTTCAACCCACGAGCAAGCCCTAATCCTTCCTTCCTTGGTTCAGCCTTCAATTCTAGCCAAAACCCTAGCTTTCTCTCTAAAACCCTCTTTGTTGCTCTCTTTCTTTGCCTCTACAAACCCACGTAAAAACCCCAGCCTCCAGACATATAACATTTATATATACTATATAATATACAACCCTAGTTCTATTTTCCCCCAACCTTGCCAACGTAATGGCGAAAAAAAGAAAAATAAAGAATAAAATAAAAAAGATAATATATATATATATATATATATATATATATAAGGGTATGTACGTGGATACATAAATATATATATATATAAATTAACTAATATAATTATTATTACTATTTAATAATAATAATTAGCTAAACATATTATCCTTATATGCATATATACCTATATATATGCACAATCCTCCATGGATAATTATTCGTACCCATTAGCTTTCCATCCAAGCAGTCCATGCGACCCATTGTGTTGGTCCATTAGTACTATCCAAATTCAACTCCTTTTAAAAATTAAAATAAAATAAAATAAAACCTAAAGCAATTATATTATTTAATCCTAACAATTAATTACAATTAAATCACACATCATTTAAGCAAGTAAAATACCCAATTAATTCACCACACAAGCACCCAATTAAATCAAATAAATCACATAAACAATTATGACAAATAAGAATATAATCATATAGCCACATAAGCACATAATCACGTAAGCACATAAAATACAATAAAATAAATAATTAAATCTCTTTTATATCCTTTTGAAAACTAGGAGTATTACACTAAGGGTCCGTTTGACAACCACAGTTGCTTTGTGTTTCTGCTTTGACCCAAAGCAGAAGTAATGTTTTTATTTTTAGAGTGTATTTAACACTATTTAGAAGCTTGTTTGGTAATATAAATTTGTTATAAGATTTTTAGAAGCAAAAACATGAAAGCATATTTGGTAAAATTTGTTGCAAGTTTGAAAATTTGAATGGTTAGTTAAAAATGTTATTTTAAAAGAATGAATTTTTTTTTTATACCGTGCGGAAGCAAACAAAAACATAATTTTGATACTTTCAATTTTAGCCTTAATTTTAGAAGGACTTTAGTATTATTAAAAAACACATCAAATATTATTAAACGTACTTCTTGCTTTTTATTCGCTACACTGGTAAAAATAAAAAAACACAATTCATATGACCATATATGATCATACACACTTTTTCTCTCTCTTCGATCATGCGCCTCATGCATTTAATGTAGTGAGATTCTTCAGTACACTGATCAACGTGGTAAGAATTTGTTAGCATCTGTGGGATGTACTTAATTTGACCACATAGTGGTATTGAACGAAACACAATGAAGATCTCTCATTTTCATGGAAGAAAAACTTTATAACCATTCATTTAGGAGAGAAAAATGTGGACTAGAAGAAGAAGAAGAAGAGTCCACAAACTGTTACCCGCATGGATCCATCACACACGACACACATCATTAAGCAGCTCTCTTGTCCTTGCACCCAATACGTGGTGTTGGTGGTTAAAGGGTTAACGTCTCCTTGGTAAGTCAAGATAAAAATGGCAATGCCAGCTACCGGACTCTCTCGTACCCGTACCCGTTTATGGTTAAATGCTCCGTACCCTTCCCGTCCGTTCTACCACAAGTCTCCGTCGATAAATGCTCCGTACCCTTCCCGTTCGTTCTACCACAGGTCTCCGTTCCTTGCCCCCTACAAACACATGGATGGATCCTCTAAATTAAGTTCTTTCAAAATCAAAATCTAGTGACAAAAAAGGTTCCTTTATTGACATAGACAGAAGTACACTAAACACCTCTCAACTATTGATGTATTACATAATATACTCTTCAATCATCAATTATTGCAATTCAGCTCTCCAATTTTCAAAAGTGCATGTTCACACCACAATCAAATTTGAAAGTTAAGCAAAGCGTGCACTAACATTAAATAATAATAATAATAATAAAAATTAAAAGAATTAATGACCTAAATTCTCTCTTTAGGAAGGATATTGAAACATTTTGTCTTATTTAACGGTCAACCTAACAGTGAAAGGAGTTAATTACAACAATTAATAATTGGAGAGTGCATTTTAAATGTCTCATTTATGTGTTATTTATTATGTATATGAATTCAAGATGGAAGAAATGGAATGCCCAATGCTTAACATTCTCATATATTGGATCCATGTTTTTTCCTCTATTTTAATTTCACATTACTAGTATGGACGAAATGAATGTTTGTACATTAGTATGCTACATGTATGAATGTGTGGGGTGAACAATTATTTGTCACATGGATGAGAGAGAGAGAGAGGGAGAGAGATGCAAAAGAAGAATCACGGGTCCACAACATTACAAAAAGGCAAAAGCGATGGATCCAGCCTCAGGATAACATGCACCGTTCACGGACGGACACTATACATACCACTGTGACCTCCGGCCCAATTAACCTCTCTCTTGTGCGAAGTTATCACACTAATCACTAGAAGAAATTGTGTTAATTTTGTTCTACTTTTATTTAATTTTTTATTTATGTATCAATTAGTGATTGATCGGGATTAATGATATATTCACCATTTGACATGCTAGCCCTGGTATAGGTCTAGTGTTGTCTACCTAAACACAACTCTCTCTCTCTCTCTCTCTCTCTCTCTCTGGTGGTTTATGGTTTGTATGTATTTATATATGTGATCAATGTTATGATCGACTATGATGTTTATATGCTCAAGTGAAGGCATTTGTGACAAGTAACAATTGGGATGACAATGCGAAATAGTCAAAAGTTATACAAAAATTACAGCAATTTTACTATTTAAATGCTGAAAGATAATCGCATCATAATAAAGTTACTAGTTAGCTACAAATTTATGTAAATAATTCTATCAAATTTGAGCTTTACATAATAAAAGCTAATTAACATGATCGATCATATGGAAACATTTTAAAAAAAAAAAAAATTTTAAATCAAGAATTTTCTACATGCACAATAACTATTCAAATTAGTGATGAAATGAAAAAGCCATCTGAGCACTCTATATATAGTATGCACTAGCTAACTGATTCAAACTTATGCATTCCTATATAGCTAGCTAGTTAATTACTCCGCTGGCCAAAGATTGTGATTGTTTTTAACATATATTAAAAAATTCTCTAACTCATGGTATTGATCTCCCTTTGTTTCTATAATGTTCCACAGATTGAGTTTGCAGGTGAGAATATTATAATTAAGAAAGTAGCTAGTACTGTGAAGGAATTATAGATCTTATAATGTATAATTATTACTAATACAAATTAAGGGACTATTAGTGTAACAATCTCAGTTCATGATCTTATATTAATTTAAGAATACAATATCATTATCGATGATTTATACAGAGCACGTGCGGTGTCATAAAATTTAGAATGGAAGGCCTAAATAATTAAGCTGAGACATGGTGTACGTCCTCCAACCAACGGATGAATCGTACCCCTAGTAACATGGTTGTCCATTCAACTTCATTTCAAGCTTAACATTTACTTATAATTATGGATTTGTATTTGGATTACGTACTCATTTGTCTTGTTCCAATATTAAAAAAAAACTTAATTATTTAGGCTCGGGTTGTATGAGAATTACAAATTAGAGGAATAACCACTGATGCAGCGGTTGCTTATTACTGTTCTGCTTATCACTTTTATTTTAGTACTAATATGTTGTACTGTTGAAAAATTAGGATAAAGTATGTAACGTGAAATATGCAGAGGGCTTGCTTATTTAGTTTTTTTTTTTTTTAAAGCAATTTTCTATTCTTAAACAGCTAAAAAACAGAATACAGTATGAAAATTCGTTTGTTTGAAATTGTATATATTATTAAAAATGAGTTAAATTAATACCTCTTTACAGAGTTTTCTATTATTGTTCTTTAAAATCTGTTCTATATTCTTATAGTAATTGAAAACTGTTTTAAGATAACTGAATAATTTGAGCATTAAACTAAATTGTACGTATATTCTTACTTTTTGTGTTGGAAACGCGACCTACATCAGTAAGTACTCTTAAACGAAATGTAATATATATATATATATATATGCAAGGGTTCAATTGGGTATGTATTTTGGTGCGGCTTTTACCTTCCTAGTATAAGGTTTCTAATCAAACTCAATGCGCAATAGAAGCACATATTCCCGATAAATATAGGAGACAAAACAGTGTCAATTGCAATAAAAACACAATGATATAGTAGGAATAATTATTCATATGGATCCATGTATTTGCAAGGTAGTTGCCAACTAGCAAAATTTGGCAGATGCCTATCAGCCCACCCCATGTTCACGTGATTGGTTTCTAGGGGTTTTTTTTAATTTATTTTTTTTAAAAAATTATTTTTATTGCACTTCGCACTCATTTGCTCTATATAACACCTTATACATCTACAGAAACTCTACCACTTCATTTCTTCTCTCTCTTTGTTACAAACCAAAGCAGAGAAGAACCCTGAAAATGGAATCCTCTAAGATCTCAGCTCTCCTTCTCATTTCCATGCTATTCATCTCCTCAGTAACCCCCATTCTTGGTTGTGGCTCATGTTCCAAGCCCCCTCCCACGCACAAGCCCCCCAAAGTCAAGCCTCCTAAGGCACATATCCCACCCATTATCAAGCCTCCAATCACCCTTCCTCCGATCGTGAAACCACCCATAACCCTACCTCCGATCGTCAAGCCACCCATAACCCTACCTCCGGTCGTCAAGCCACCCATTACCCTACCTCCGGTCGTCAAGCCACCCATAACCCTACCTCCGGTCGTCAAGCCACCCATTACCCTACCTCCGGTCGTCAAGCCACCCATAACCCTACCTCCGGTCGTCAAGCCACCCATAACCCTACCTCCGGTTGTCCTACCACCAATTGTAAAGCCACCCATAACCCTACCTCCGGTTGTCCTCCCACCAATCGTAAAGCCACCCATTACCCTACCTCCGGTTGTCCTACCACCAATCGTAAAGCCACCCATTACCCTACCACCGGTCCTGAACCCACCGGTGACTACGCCACCGGTGACAGGGACGCCTTGCCCGCCGCCACCTGCAGCTCCAACTCCAGCTCCAGCAGCTACATGCCCAATTGACACACTTAAGCTTGGAGCTTGTGTGGATCTTCTTGGTGGGTTGGTGCACATTGGTCTTGGTGATCCAGTGGTTAATGAGTGTTGCCCAGTACTACAAGGACTTGTTGAGCTGGAAGCTGCAGTGTGCTTGTGCACTACTCTCAAGCTCAAGCTTCTCAATCTTAGCATCTTTGTCCCAATTGCTCTTCAGCTTCTTGTCACTTGTGGGAAGACACCACCTCCTGGTTACACCTGCTCTATCTAGATCTCAGTTACCTAGGTACTTCACTTCACTTAAAACCCTAACCTTAATTAATGTTTTTTTTAGATTCCTTAATGTTCTTACTTTTTCTAAAGGCATGCAGAGGTTTCCTTTCTTTTCTTTTCTTTTTTTTCTCTTTTTGTTGTCAGTTTTGAACATTAGCTCATATATATCCATTTTAGTTCGAACAAGTCTATAATGAGTGTATCTTCAATTGTTTGGGACCATGAGGGCATGAGAACGCCCTCGTTATAGCTTTTAAATTTGTTTTAGTTAATGAGGCTACAATATTTACACTAAAAATAGAAAAAGAGAAGAATAGAAATGGTTAAAAACCAGATTAGTATATGGTTATGGAATATGTGTATTAAATTTACTTTAACTTCATATAGTGCAGTGCTACTTGTATTTTGGATGTACCCTCTCTTTCTCTGTGTGTCAGTGTGTGTTTTCTTTAATTGAACAGATTTTTTTAAATACTGCTTTAATTTGAATTATAGATAATGGAAGTCATTGCTCTATGATGTATGGGTTTGCAGGTTCCTAGATTGATGGGCGCGTGGAAGAAATCGACATGAGAGGATGTCGAATCTTCAATTTCTCTTTTTCTCTCTTCTTTTCTTGATTGGAACTGCTGATGTTTGGCTTTATTGTACACAAATGATTTTTAAGAGATTATTAATTCATGTGTGTGTTGTTGTAAGCATTTGGAAGAAATCAATGATGCTTTCCTTTAACTCATTTTTAGTATTCCTGGATATTCTCTCTCTTTGGTGCGGATTTTCGTGTTTCATCCGATAATTCCGTATAAATTTAAGGTGATAGATTTCAAATCCCAAAGTTAAATAATTTTGACTCATTTATGTGAGTGATTAGTGATATTATTAATATCTCTTATGTCATGATGATAATTAGTCTTTAATTATATAAAATTAGATATGTCTATTTTCGGACTTTGTATCATTACTCATAATTAAATTCATGTGTGTATAAAAAAAATTTCAAAGTGCATTAGTGGTGAGGCCTACATCTCCTAGTACTCCTACAATATCAATCATAATTTGCTTATAAAAAATGTTATTTAAGCCAACTTTGGTTTGTCCGAATTTTATATCCGTTAAGTTAAATATTTTTTTCAAAAAATAGTCTTATATAAAAAAAATTTAAGTAAAATATTTTTTACTTTTATTTTAAGGTGTTTGGTAAAGGTCTAGAAAAAACATTATTGAACAAAAGCACAAATTATTTCTTGTTAGGTTTTGATAAAATATTTTACTTAGATTTTGGACAACCAAATATTAAAAAATAAAAAAATATATTATAAAAAATATTTTTCATCCAAATAAATAGAGCATATGATTTTAATAAAAAATTTAATTTTTAAGTTAATTTCCAACTACCAAAGGGCACTTTTGTCCCATAAAAATTATTTTTAATGATACCCCTACTATTTTTATTGTTATTTAAAGTCATTTCATTTCGTACAATTCTCTTGTGGTGAACTATGCAGAGTGTTTTTTTTTTTTTTTTTTTTTTGTTCTTTCAATTAAGTGCAAGTGATAAGGAACTTTTATAAAGTTTTAACTTTCACCCTAACTTTACTCCTGACAACAGCCTTTCAACTCAACTCGGTCATTTCCAAACAAATACTTGTATGTGGCAGAGACGTACTTGGGATCTATGTACTTAATGAGAACTTAATGATAAACAATTAAATTGAAAGAAAAAAAGGGGGCCCATTTCCTACAGTGATTGAATCTTAGCATGCATCATCAACATCATGTAATTATAAAGTAGTCCATCCTTTCAGCGCTCTGAAAAGGATTGAAAGCATATTTAACCAACAGTATTATACAACCACATACAAAACAAACTTTTTTTTGTTTTTTTTCGAAAAGTTGAGCAACTTCAATAAATAAGTGGATAATTTACCAAGGTGGGCCTTAGGCCAGAGAAAATAAAGAAATACAAGCCGAAAAGCAAATAAGGGAAAGCCCAACCCAAGGACAAAACCGAGCCACTAATTCAAGCAGATAACCACCATTAACGGCATGATTAACCGTTAATGGTAGTTGTTAGAAAATCATTCTGGTGAAGCAGCCATGATTCGCGAAGCTGTGAAACACAGCTTAATCCGGTGGACGCGGTGGAGGACGACAACACTATGGAGAAAGGTTCCATTCATTGAGGATCGACCTACTTGATGAACAATTTCTTAGAAACCCCAGTTTTAGAGTTACGACAATGGTAGAACAGATCTTGGCACAAACTACCCTATGCGTAGCCTTTTCTCCTCTGTAAATCCGAGCATTCCTTTCTTCCCAGGCATGATACACCACTGAAGATAAGCATAATTCGCGGTGCAAATTTGTAAGGTGTGTTTGCTTTCCATTTGTTGCTGATCCATAGTACCAGAGCTTCCCAATTTGTAATTGTAGTGTAGAATATGGCATTTGTATATGATAAATCTTCAAATAGGTGATACGAAAAAATAATTAAAGAATGTGATTAAGTTGAATTTTGGCACAAAGCACAAATGTTTTGATGTTGGGCCATTGATTTGCTATCAAGAGTTGGCAATCTGGATTGAACAGCCAGCTACAGATTGAACTTCATTTTTGGGATTATGGGAGATTGCCAAACCAAGTTGTGCCAAGGGAAAGATGGGAACTCGCCTGCAAGGTGTGTTGCTGTGTGCTTGAAGGTGTACAAACCAGATGGAGATGTAGTCCACTTCTTTGTGTCTTATTCTGGTTTGAGCATGGTGGAGGTAAAAAGAGCAATTAAGGTATGACAGTGGTGATACTGTCAGGGAATTATAACTAGGTGTCGTTTGCAATAAAATTATCCACTATTGTGCCATCATTGTGTGGGAATCTTGAGCTTAGAGGACCTCCTGGAGCCCAGTTGTCCCATCAGAAGCATGTGTGAGCACCATTCCCAATAGTGCGTTTGATGGTAGCCTTGCAGAATGCCCAAGTTGAAGGATTTTCCTCCAACTCCAAGAACAAGGTTGTGGGTACTTGAGGGTCCAAAGATTTATAGACTTAACGAGGAGAGGTTGGCACCAATTGATCCAAAGTCTATTTAAATCATCTGTTTATAGATCCCAAATGTACCTTATAAGGCCTGCTCTATTTGCAACCTCCAAGTTAGGAATCCCCGATATATCCACTTGAAACTTTAGGTCTACAAACCCTACTCCGAGCAACTTTTGCACCAGAAGATTTCATTTTTGGTCCTAACCAAAGGAAACATCTGAAAATCTTGTTGAGTTCATCAATAACTCCTTTTGGTAAGATGAAGATGTTACACCAGTAGTTTTGTGTAGAGACTAACACAACTTTAATCAGTTGCAGTCATCCTACATATGAGAAGGTTCTAGATATCCAGTGGAAAGTTCTATGGGTGATTTTGTCAATCAACAAGCTACAATCTTATGATTTTAAGTTGGTAGTGATCAATGGGACCCCAAGATACTTCACTAGGAGAATACCAACTTCAATGTCAAGTAGTGAAGTGATTGCCTCTTGTGTGTGGTCATCAATTCCAGATAAGTAAATTAAACTTTTTGAGAGGTTAATATCAACGCCAGACATCATACAAAACAAAGTTACGAAGATGAATTAAATACCAATATGCATTGAAGGTATATCATAACATTTTGTCATATCCAAGGAATGACATAGTCTTTGTTAAGATATTTACTAATCACCAAATGGAAAATGGGAAACGTGGATACAAACCCTTTCCTCCAAAAGAGAGGACGGGTGTTAGAGCCTTTGCGGGGGCATTGGTATGTGTCTACTTATCCTTTCATATACTTTCTCCACCTCAAATTAAATGTCTCTTTTCAGGAATTTAACTTTTTAAAATGATGGATTTTAATATTTTTTATTATATTGATAGTAAATGAATTATCAAATATGTTCGTATGGTTTACTTTTTATAAATTCAATGTAAGAAGGTTAAATTGATAATGTTACAAAATATAGTACTTTGACTTTCAAATAAAACATTTATTTTGAGACAACCAAAAATAAAAATGTAAATATTTAATTTAAAACGACGCAAATATATTTTTACTAATCTAAGACATGACAGAACCATCCAAAAGTTTTTGACAGGACAATCCCAAAAAAGATGGTGCCCTGCTACTTACTATTAATATAAAAGCATGCATGCTTCAATTGTCTAAATAATGGTAGGCTATAATAATTTTCATCTAACATAAGTTCCCATGATTATAATAGGGTAATATTGAACTTATGATTATAATGGGGTAATATTGGGACTCATACACCTGTTTTTTACCCAAGTCTCTCGAAACCATATAGAAGAAAAATGGAAAAGACATATATATATATGTATGTATATATATATATACCATGACATTGCAAAAGCTTATAAGAGTATTATAGGGACCACTTGCAAGTTTTGGGCACATGAACTTTGTTTGTCTTTACTGCCTACAAAAACATGTGGTGGTCTGATGCTGGGCTCCTATTGCTTGAAATCTAAAGATTCCTTTCTGTGATTTTTGCCAGAGATAATGTAATCTGAAAAGCCTATTGGAGCAAGAACATATATTAATATTATCAACAAACATTGGTTCAAGTCCCTTGGGAGAGTGTAGTGAGAGTGAAATCATTCCAAATCTAACTCCCCAATGAATGGGCCAATCGCTCATGGTAAAATATGAAATTTTGAAATCTACCGTCTTAAAGGTTATTGTAAAGATAAAAATTTGAAAACTACGTCGTTGCCATTTTGTTAGTATGAATGACTGACAAGCGGGGTTGAAAGAACCAAAAAGTTGGGATGTTGCTATCATCTGACTGGCACTGGGCTTTGGTTCGCTCTCAGTATATATATATATATGCTTATGATTTGTAAATCGTACGCAATTGAATCACTTCAAATGTTGTGAATTGAACAATATTGCAAGGAAATCCTAGCCAATCTGAAGAAATACTTGCAAATATTAAGATACTTTTTCACCCAGCAAATAAAAAGAAAAAAAAATAGAGGATGCTTTTCATTTGAACACAAGAGAGGCAAGCTTCGTAAGGTCATGCCTAGGCAGCGATTTATCTTCAAAATTTGGAAATTAAATGAGAGGTTGTCCCTTGAGTTCATGTGCTTCTACCTGTAACATGCTAAACAAAATAAAGCTGTCTTTTATGAGGGATTTGACTGAAACAAACCTAACCATTGACAACGTTAAACACAATAATCATTCTCATATTGAGAACCACTATATTCTCATACCTGATAGCTCAAACTTTAACCACTGAACCAACAAAATTATCAAAACTATATTAAAGAAGACACATTTCACTTCCTTCTCAATACACAAGTCAAAGCATCTAAAGTATATTCGCAATTGGTACAATCCTACTCTTCTTTCAAGCTAACCTCAAAATTAGGCAGAAGCCGCAGAACCATGCCAAGACGCAAAGCTTATAAGATTTCAAGAAACAATATATATATATATATATATATATATATATAAAATAGCCATAGGTAGAGTCGAGTCCTCCGCAAAATTACTCCGTCCCTGCAGTGGGGGCAAGGTTTGGCCACTCCAGAGAAAGCCATATCACACATTTAACTTTGCCTACCCATTGAATCGTTTTAACATGGGCAGAAGCAGTACAACCTTGACTAGTACAATTGTACATTTTGACACACAAAAACAAATAAGAGAAATAAAATGTAGTAGGAAAAAATGACCACGCTTTGACATCTAGGATGAATAAAGTTTCTTTTTCTCGAGAAAAATACATGACCTCCCTATTCTTGAATCCCGACCTGTTAGCCACTAAAAGACAATATTCTGAATCAGAACTACACCTCAGATCTTATAATTGAGCATCTGTGACAACCAAAATAATCTCAGCCACACCTCCAATCACTGAACCTAAAATTGAAATTCCTTTAAAAAAAAAAAAAAGAAAAAAAAAAAGGCTTATTCCCTGATTGAACTATATATATGTTACAGATCCTCATAAAAAGGATTGTTGGATCTACCTGCTAACACGGAGTGAGGGGTGGGCTGGACATGAACAATTAAAATCCACCAATACAATAATTAACAAGAACTATTTAATTGTAAGCTGTCAGGGAGGAACCTAATGTGACTACACTGTTTCAACTTGGCAAGAGCTTCTTGAGTTTTCCCAAACATGAGATCCAAGTAAATGGCAGTAAGAATGGCTTCTGGACTGTTGGGTATTGTGGATAATGCTTGCATCACAAACTGGTGAGCATGCTCAAGATCTCCCTGGATTGCAGACATGGCACCTAAGTTTGCATAAAGAGTTCCCCGTGCCTCTTCAGGCTTAAGGAACATAAAACCTTGTAATTCATTGAGTGAAGAGTTATTGGCAGTCACTGACCCACCATTCAACTCCTCACAATCCATGGTTTTCTCCACTCGCCATTGTTCACAGTCCTCTTCGTTATACGGCAGTTCAACATTGCTACCATTCGACAAATAGAAAAAGAGATGCTCAGCAGCTTCCTTTGGACGGTTTAGCAGGCAGAGAGACTCAGCTGCATATACATTTCCCAGAAATATATAGATTCTGGAACATTCTGGAAGGCTCAAGAGAGACCTTGCTGCCGACAGGGCCTTCAAAGGGTTTCGCAGTTCCAACTCTACAAATGCCAAGTCAGCTAGAAGAGCTTGTTTGATAATATGGTTCTCTTTTCTACATTTATTTTCATAATCCAAGATGGAGTTCTGTAACGCAGTATTAGGACTATTTCCAACCTTTTGTTCTTTCACATCCCCATTTGCATTAGCCTGACCAGAGCCAGCTGTCAGACTAGATGCCTTTGCATCACCACTGGAGACACTCTTGTAGTTTGTATTCTTAGATGATGCTGTTTCTCTTGATTCATTTTCCTCCAAGGTGGAACTTGAAGACAATACTGACTTTGAATACTTAGACTCATAACAGTCTAACAAGTACAAGGCATTGGAAAGACACTGCTTTGCAAAGGACATCGAGAGATTAGGCTGTCTATCATCACCCAAAAACAAATCGCCCCTTCCAACAATATCGACATGCCCATTTCTTGGAGTCCCATCTTCCATTACAAGTTGTCTCCATTTCCCCTTTCCAACAACATGAACTTTAATCTCTGATCTGTTGGATGGAGCTGCACTGGATTTCAGAAGTCCCTTCTCTAGCGCCATTAGACAACATTCTGCTATTCGGAGCCACAAGAGAGGCCGGTTGTTAAAAATTAAACTAGCCTTGTGAAAACAGCGAGCAGCAAGTATTGGTTTCCCACAAGCCAAGTACTGCACACCACAATTATATATTATATGGAGAGATTTGTTCTGTGAGAAAGACAAGAGCTTTAAGGGCTTTTCCTTCCGTAGAGACAAACTGTTGCTCAATGCCTTGGAAAAGAATACAGTTGATGTGTGATACTTCCCAAGTTGATAATAGATGCACCCAAGATTGTTGTTGTAAATGATCGAATTCCCCAATTCAGTCCGATTGCTTGATGCCATTAACAGCTTGATAGCTTTACGATAGTTCCCACGAGCATATTCAAGCTGAGACTTTAAGAGGAGAGCCATGGAAGAATCTTTCCCACGTGCTATGTTCATAGCCATCTTAACTTCACGCTTAGCTGCCTTGAGGTTCTTAGTAAGAAGCAGAAACCGAACCCTGTAAAGATGCAACTTGAGCCTCAGATCAGTGGTTGAAATGCACTGATCAGCTGGGATCCTTGAAAAATCATTCGAAGATTGGAGGCCAGACGGTCGTGCTAGTGTCCACAATAAGGTTTCATATTCAGTCTCCTCTGATAAAGTTCTAGATAAAGAATTTTCAGAGGCATTTGCACTAGCAACCAAATCAGAATTAAAAGCATCGGTGGCAGATGAATTGCTTGGAAATGAAGAAGATTTTCCCACTAGATTTGAAGATTGTTGCTGCATGGAGCTTCCATTGTCACCTTGACTGACCAAACTGTTGACACAATAAGCTTTCTCCACATAGCTAATTACATCCTGGATGATAAGAAATCACAATGGAATCACTTCAGTAAATAAACCAGAATATAGGAACTGAAAAAGAAAGCAGATAATTTCAGATCCATGTGCTCATCACGTCTTAACCAAAACATTTGATTTCAATATCGGCACACTAAAAAAGCACCAAATGAATAACAACAACAAATGAATTCAGAAATTGAAGATGCCAAACCTTGTACAAGCAAAAGGTATTTAGAACTACAGAAGAGAGCAAATTTGCTCAAAAAGTATATATTCCAAGAAGTCCTCAAACAATTCTTCCAATTGTCTGACCTTTTGACACAATAACCATAATCTAGGTTATTCAATAATTCTCCGACATTCCACCCAGGCAACAACAATTTTTTGTACTTTGTTGATCAAAATCAGCTATATCAACCACCACCGCATTCCATATTTCTGAACTATTTATCACCCAAAGAAAAGATATGGTTTCCTTTGCACTATTTTTTTATGCTGTCTGTTGCTGTCCTATCTCTTTGATTTTTTCTGCGTTTCCCCCAACTTTTAACCATGTTGCAATTTTCTATACAAAGATTCTCCAATTCCACTACATCCCAATGTACCAAGTAATAGCAAAGTAGTACACTGACACAGAACTCCTTTTCCCATGCCAAAACTAGAAAAACACATAAGAAGAGGGATGTGTGATCTGGGGCACACCAACCTACCTTAGCCGAGCCAAACATCTTTTCCACAAAGCAGAAGTCCGCGGACAAGACAAGAGAATTCGGGATCCAATAGCACAAAACACAGAATGCAATGTACGACATTTTTTAAGCATGAAAGAGGTGTTGGCCTTCCATTGGTTGCAAACAATTCAAACTTTTGACTTTGGTGGTGAGGAACTAAAGACTTCCAAATATTGAAAGGGAAAGAAGATTAGGATTGTTAGAACCAACAATGGTGGATTGGTGAAGATATTCACTAGCATATTCATTGCCAGCTGCGACAGTCTACCATCTAATGCTTATGTAATTAGGAAATAAGACATCTGCAAGATGATTGGGAAGGGAGGAAAACATTAAGTTAATATTCCAAGACAGGCGGGGAACATGTCAAAGACCATCACGTAGCTTGTAGAAGTGCAATGAATCATTCCAAGAATCCCCACAAAGAATAGGTTGATGCTTCAAAGACAATGGTCAAAAGTTACTAAACATTGCAAAGTGAACTTCTAGGGACAGTAATGATCTCCACGAGAGGCAAATCTGGCAACCAAACCACTGTGTTGCAAACTGCATCCGCCTTAAGAATAAAACCTCATAAAGTTATATTTGAGTGAAGAACTATAGATCCAGATAGGTCCTAAGAACTATAGTTATATAGCCAACAATATGTCCCCCCTTCAGCTAAAGAGAAAAAATAATGAAACCAAACCTATAACAAACTTCATCATAAATCCAACTGAAATGGGTGTTTTCCATGTCTACAAGCCCATCACCAAAGTCAGTCACTTGAACCTTCTTGATGATATTCACATGGACTCTTTGCTCAAATCTGTCCCTATTCAGCACTTAACGCAGAAATCACTCATGGTGCCTTGAAGTGCTTGATCATGTCTCTTTAATTCCTTGAATCGGTCCTAAGATAGGTGCCCACCTTGCTCACCCCTTTCAATACTCACTGAAGTTTCAGATCTTCATTGGGTTGTGATGTTTCAGAATCATGATTAGTGTCTTCAGCACCAAAACTTTGGATGGAACCATTACCACTGCCCTCTGATTTCCTTCGGTTGGATCTCAATGCTCTCCGACATGTCAACAAGCTCGAAGAAAAGTTGTTCTTGCTAAGCACAAATAAGTCTTCCTCTAGAAGTTCAGCTGTGCTTTGCCATTATCCTAGTTCTCTAATATCAAAGCTGATGCAGCACAATCTTTAAGATTAAGGATTATGGCAGTGGCCTTGCTTCGTGAATAAGAGTTTGTTCACATATGAATTTGAGTTTGGGAATGAGAAAATATGAAGATAGGAGACAGAATGGAACATGTGCTGAATTTAAAAACAAAAGAGGGAAATAGGGATCGGCTATCGCACCTCACTAAAGCAAGAAATTTTTATTGTCCTCAATCAAAGGTCTTATTGAGTATCATAAGTTATATGACCTTGACATTTCACCACAAAGACAAGATGATATAGCCTATTTGGTTCAGTTTTCTAAGCTAAGAACTGAAAATTAGAAAACTGTACAAAAATCTGATTGGTTGACAGTTTCCACAGTTAAAAATGTCTGTTTTCTGAATTCTTGGGAACTGTATTGAGAAAACTGAATCAAACAGTAGAATTATTCTTCTCATTCCTTACTAAATCAAACAGTAGAATTATTCTTCTCATTCCTTCCTTCAAACTCTAGTCTCTATATGTTATCTAGCAAAAGGAGGTTCCTTAGGAGTTAAAGTGCATAAGAGCTGAGGGTCTTAAGGAGGTTACTAATGCTTGAAACTTGAAAGCAAAGGAACTCAAGAACTCAAGAATTTCATATATTTTTTCTAACATTTTGCTTTATAAAAGAAAAGTAATTTCTAGGCTCCGTCTGTTTCGACATAAAATATTTTCCGAGGAAAATATTTTCTTTTTTCAGGTAAAATATTTTCTTTTATTTTTATTTTTCGGTGTTTGGCAAAAGTCAGTCGAGGGCGTGTAAAATAGCTTGCCGAAAATTGATAAATAAGTTATTTTTGTTAGGTTTTAATATTTATTTTCTTCTTAAATATTTAACGACAACCAAACACAGAAAATATTTTACACGCAAAGAAATGGAGCCTAGATTCAAGGTCAACACGTCCTTCCATGCAGCCTCAACCAGAATTCTGGTTTTGCCAATTGCCACTCTTTGCCCGACATCTTCGTCCAAGCTACAATTACATACAATTCATGTATCATCACACAACTGATAACGCTCTAAAAGCATATATTTTTATTTAACTCATTCTATTTCTTGGGGAGGTTTCAAAGTCAATATAAGCAAAATGGTGGGGGATAACAGCTTCCCTTACTTATAACACCCAACAAGGAAGGATCCGATTTGATGTCTCTTATATCACCTAGAGACAATATATGCAAACCAGTTGGTACCTTCAGCACTCCAAAAGCAACATTTTTCCTTGAACCTTTTTTTTTTATAAGTAAAATGTATTAGAAAGAGTTCAAACAGGAAATGCGTCCCAAGAGCTATACAAAGGCCGAAGCCAGAGACAAGGTCCTATTTTCCTTGAACGTATTGGCAACACACTCTTCAATGCTCCGTCATATGAATGGTGGATCCAAGATATACCAACATAACATCATAATAAAAAATACAGATCAATATAATGGAACATGTGCCCTCCCCCCAAAATCTAAATCCAAATTTGGGACACTTGCACCATTTAACAAGGACAGTCTTACATACTACCATCTGAAAACTTTTACAGGAAGCCAATCCACCTGATCTTTCTTGCTTTAATCATGTGGCCAATATCATATGCAGTCTTCCTAATCATATGCGTCAACTATCCAATATGCAACACTAGTTTATCATACCTGCAAATACTAATTACTATAATTATACATGTATCTTGACAGAAAAATCAAAACACAATTTGGAAATTTAGACTAGTTAATAAAATGGTGCATTAAATCTGCCAATCTCTTAACAGAGAGTACAAACGAGTAAAAATATTAAACACTAAATGCTAAATAAAAAGGCATTATATCTTTCATACTATCAAGTATTATTTTACCTCAGATGATGAAATTTTCTATAAGTCAAGACACTGGAAGGAGGAACATCAATTTCAAAAACAAAATATAAAAAATTGGTAAGTAGATGAGCAATTTAAAATACAGCATAAATACTTGCATGTTGACTCGGAAGCATAACCATAATATGCCAGTTACTGAAAAAAAACATGGCATGATGAAGATTACATGATTCAAACCACCTAGTTATGAAGTGATGAGCTAGTTTAAAATGAGGGCACGTATGTAAGTTTTAAACTACGGAAGAGTTTTTTGTAAAATTAATATAAAAGCCCAAGTTTTGTCTAGTGTTTCCAATAGATGAAGACAAACATGGTAAGGAATTAGGTAAGGAATTGTAAAAAGTTAATACCCAGTGTGGTGGTGCCTATGCAAGGTGTTGTGAGGGGAAGGCAGAAGATGGACTAACATTCGGCATTTTTTTGCACAAAGCGGCTGCTCTCAGCTATTATATCAATTAATATAATTAACTAAATCTAATTTTAAAATGAAGAATAAGATGATGATGACGATGATGGGTGGTGATACTGGTTGCGGCAATGAGGTATAAATGCAATTCTCCAGGGAACAAATATGCATTAAGAAATAAACAAAGGCCCTTAGGCCCCTATATTTTGCCATAACCATAAAGGGAAAAAACCCATAAAAGAAAAATAAAACAAATTTATTGTGACCATATATAACATATTTTTTATATAGGAAATGAGAAACTAAACTTAACATTATAAAGCAAAAGCTGGATAAATTTCGAATCGATTGTAGATTAATGAGACTAGCATCTAATGGCAATATTAATCCTATATCTCCATTCTCCAAGCAAGGGACCCCAAAGTAAATGGATACATTTTTTTGTTCAAAACAAATCAATGAGAGAAGTCTCTTCTCAAGACATGGATGTACCAGTAGAAGGAAAAGCAATAGCTTAAACACATAAAAAGAAACGAGGCTTAAGCGTCATGGTCCATTCTTTTTAAAACAATAAATTATCATCCCTGACACATCGTTGACAAAAAAAATTCAAGACATAGTGGAAACTTTTAATAAAAAAAACTAGTCAAAATCCAGGAAGTTAAACTTACTACAAATTTCCATGGATCACGGGACGCCAATGCAACATCCAGAAACAGAAGGCAAATATGAAGAGCTGTTGCCTGCATGTAACAATTAGGAAAAAAGAAAATATAAGCAGAGGAATTCAGACATTAGACCGAAATGATTAACACTAATGTCTATGTACCTCATCTATTGGTTCAATTTTCTGATATAACGATTCAAGAATTGCGAACGCCTTTGAATATTCATGAAGATGGAACCAGATAACTGCCTGTGTAAGATCAATTTTAAACAGACATGTAATCCAAATTAACGAGAAGGAAAAAAAGAAAAAGGATTTGAACCCTTTAAATAAGTTAGTAAATGGCTAGATGCTTGCAATTTGATCAATTAACTATGGCAACATCAAGTGAACATACTATGTTTAACATGGTCACAGAAGTGTCAAATTCGTCAGCGTAAACCACAGAGGAACTATTTGCTGCAGGGACTTGATGAGCCATACTGTTGGTCCCTTTAGATCCTGATATAGCTTTGTTTCCGAGGTTGCTAACAGCATCTACATGTTCTCCAGATACATGAGCAAGTTCATCGCTTCTTTTCTATATCAAAAAAGATAATTAACCAAAATGTAAGAAAAAGAAGTAACTAAAATAAAAACGCATCATCTTCTTCCACAATAAATTTAACATAATATAGTAAAGGTAAAAAAAGTACATGACATGCACCAATATAACAAATAAAGACCTCAAAATTACAACTTATTTGTTAATGCAAAAAAGTTTACAGAATTGCACAAGGAGATAATAATATTTTGATCCTAGGTACAGAAGATGAAGTAGAGAGAAGGAACAGACAATTAGATGCAACTCTACTCAATAAAGCTGATTCATAGGTATGATTCTGATGTGGAGTCTGTCTATGTTAGCATGATAACTAATACAACTTTGTTTATCTCTTTATTTTTACATATAGGTACTTTTGAGCCACTCATCAAGCATTCTTTCAGTCGATCACATCTTATTAAACAATTTTTTTAATCAAGGCACGCCATTATCCCCTAAACACTTCCAAATCTCAATAGGAATGTCATTTTGTCCTAAAACCCTTCCTAATTTCATCTTCACTGATACATTTTGAACCTTGCAATCCTTAATCCTATGAAAAAATATGGTATCCCTAAGGTTACCATATTCTTCAAACCTAAATTTCCTAAATGATTTCATTTAACTATTTTTCAAAGTAACTTTTTCATCTTTATTTTTGTTGTCTTCAACTAAAAAGCTTGATATTCACTCTTGATTTTTAAAATATATTTAACATCTCTACTTTTCTTCTCCCTCAGTTTAGCAAGTTTATATATGTTCTTCACAAATTTTGTACCTAAACTAAAATAGAAATAATTGTATGCTCTATATTTAGCTTCTCTCTCTACTTTTTTAACTTCCTTATTGACATCTTTGTATCTAAAATTAAAATCGAGCCAACGAAGCCGCCTAAATCGAATCAATCTGAACCGTATAAGATAGGTTAAAGATTGCATTTCTAATTTCTTAGATCTGCTAGCAAGCTAGATTTGGTGTAACATGCCAACAAGAACTAGAATATATTTTTCATTTTTACACACACCTCTTTAGTCCAACTAGGACTTAAACCCTCAACCTCCCATTTGAAAGGAGGAGATTCCACCAGAGCTAAGCCCATAGCTGCGCGCTTAAACCCTCTCCTACTATTACTTTACAATCCTTAGATGCTCTTTAATTAGCCATTCTAACAATACAAAATTAACTACTCTAGCAAGATAAGTTCATTTAACTCTCTAACTTTCTCTTAAATATTCATCTTTGTTTAGAGAGCATGTGTTTGTAAGTGGTAACACATAAGATTTCTAACTCTAAAATCTAAATTTGTCTTTATTTCGTTCTCCAAATCCATAGCCTAACAAGCAAGAACACTTTTAAGGTGTCATAGTTGTGTTGACCACTAACACTTCATGGACAATCCTGGATGGGCATGTGTCCAACACTTCATGAACACGTCCACACTTTAGAATTAAATTTCATTATTTTGAACATTTAACGTACACATCTCGGACAGTTGGCTGAGGCATTCCAGAAACTCCCAACATAAGTCATGTTACACTACCACGTTTAAGAGTAGCCACATCCGACAATCTTGAAAACAATATGAACACACCTCAAAGTTCCAGCAATTTAATCTTTGAAAAAAAACAATTTGACATTATTCACATGGTCACTACAAGCCAAGCATGCAATGACACTATGGGACAAAATATAATTATAATGACAATGTAGGAGCAAAGCAGCATATATAGTTAATATAATAATCTATAGGGTAAAGTGTAAAAAAAACCCTGGACTATTGGCAATTTAGCAGAAAACCCCCTAAACTACAAAACTTGTATAAAACCCCTTGAACTATTCTATTTTGTTGCAGATTGCCCCTTCCGGCAAGATTTCTTTCATAATTTACTGTTAAATGATGATGTGGCACACAATATACAATTTAATGACCATAATGCCCTTATGAGAATGAAAAGACACTAATACCCCTTATTGTCAGCATTACACCCATACACATACTGTTACACCCAAACACACCCTCATGCCCTCAATCACTGTTCATCTTCTTCATGCTTTCTGATTTAAAAAAAAAAAAAGCACAGGGCTAAAGAATGGTGCCATCTGACCTTTAATTTATGAGAAGAGGAGTTGATTCACAGTACAAACTGCTGAGATGGGTCACAAGAAATCATCAATATCTATTCATTTTGTAGCACAAACTTCACTTTCAATATATATCATTGTAACATTTTCCATTGTGGATTGAGATTGAGATTCAAGATTGGGCTTTTTTTTTCTTTTTTTTTTTTAGAGACCCACTTTGACAATGTCTGTCTCTACCATGAACGAACCGGCAGAGGCAATTGATGCGAGATCAATTACCCTGATATCTTTCTATCTTCTTTCATTATTTCTCTCTCTAAAAATCTATATCAGGGATTCAATCTCCCAATTACTGTCCTAACTCACTGGAATCCTTCAGAGTAGCCATCACGACGTTAGCCCGGAGCGTCGCTGTCCGTTTCTTGAGAGAAAGTATTGCACTAATGTGTTTCTATAACTAAGTAACAGAGATTAGAGAAATCTTGGAATTTTTTTTTTTTTAACAATAAATCTGGTTTGCGTTGGGATGACTTGCAAAAGGTTAGAGATGACTTTGTTTGACCTAGGGATAAGTGTTGTTGTGGTGTCCAATTTTCATTGGTCTATGAGATTAGACCTTTCCAAGTCATCCATTTAACTTCAACACTCCTAAAACTACGTCATTTTAATAAAGGGTACATTTGTCTTTTGTTATTTCAAGTCAAGTTGTTGCCGGATTGTCCTTAGTTGCAACAAATTAATAGTTCAGGGGCTTTGTTGCAGTAGGCCAATAGTTAAGGGTTTTTTATTTTGCATTTTACCCTAATCAATATGATATCCCAGTTGTTTCATCTTCTAAATTATGTACATAGAAATTAGAAATAAGTTATTCTAAAATAGATGCATATAAATAACAACTTTATTTATGTATAATCGTGCCCACGCCATGTCCGTATCCTACTCTTCTAGGCTTCCACGTGTCAATATATACATGTTGTATCACGTCCTTGTCCTTGTGCTAATTTATCCAACTTTTTATGTATTTTGTCATCACCTGCGCTATTTTTCTATACGTAGCCACTTAAATCTCAGACCATGTGTTACGCCATAATTTGCTCAAGTAATGTACTGTGTGCAAGGGTCGAGCCCTGCTTTTAAATGCAGCTATATCTATATGCACATGTCATACTTGTCAAAGCTAAATAAATAAATAATAAGTTTCCTAAGGAAGGGTCACTTTACTATTTTTTCCAAAACATCCCAAAGCTCCCATTTTATAGATTCACCTAATCTTACATAGTGTGCATTTCCATTCATTATTTTAATTGTCACTTCTCATGTAAATGACTCTCGATAATTTGATATTGTTGCATCTCCCCTTATCAAAAAAACTCCAAGGCATCCATTTTTAATATTCACCTACAATAATCCCTAACCCATTCCTGTAATTTCTCTGCCCTATATACCAAAGCTTATATCTTATTTCCTCATTTTCCAAGAACTTTCTCTTATATCTTAAATTTTTATTAAAAAAAACTACATTGATCTCCATATAAACTTCAGAAATAAAACTCCTATTATGTACACAACATTTGAGAATAAAGAAGAAGGTTTTAATTACCAAAATCTGTTACAGAGCATTAGTCACCCTACTGAAGCATACCTTAACATTATTAAGCATTTCGATCAACTTGTTCGGATCTGAACAACCATCCTGAAAGTACTCCGTAATAGCAAGATTGTGACGAATCTGGGGAAGAGAAAAAACATATGAATCAATACCACAAATGAAATGCAGGAGCAAAAGGAGCGATCATAATAAATGCCATTAACCATTCAAATTAATAAATGCTAGCTTCAGTTTTGTAATTATTTGAAAAGCTGTACATGTGCTCCAAATATAGAGCATAACACATACAATGAGTTCCCATATCAAGATCTCCACATTTAGATCAGCACTAATCTAAATAGAAAACACATTTCCTAAGTGCAATTTTATTACCAAAAACAACAAGAACAAAGCAAGGGCATCCCTTACTGTACAAAATGCTCAAAAAAATCCCATTTCCAAAAACTAGCAGCGATAAACAACAAATTCAACAGAATTCTACAAACAAAAGGACACCAGTAAGATAAAAAACACCCCCTGTTAGTCCCTTTTATCCCCCTAATCCCCATCTGGTGATTACTCCTCCCTTCCAACCAATGATTAACTAAACTCCCTTGGACTCAATAGCTTCCCAAACTACTCTTCTAACAGGCATCCAGTACTTCTGTAAAATTTGGTTCTTGTTCCTCCATATGTTCCAAATTTCTAAAGTGAAAATCATTCTGCATAATCTGTGCTTCAATTGTTTTCCTTTAAAATTTATTGGGAACCCCAACCTCAACTAAGTAAAATAATTGATAGGACCCCCAACTTCACTTGAATATCTCTACCAACCATTGTCTGAGAAAATTCACATTGATAGAAGAGGTGTTCGACTGAGTCCCCACCCTTCATACAATTAAGGCAAATGGGAATTAAATTCATAACTCTGATTTGAAGATCTTTGAGAGATGGAATTTTGTTTTGTAGTACTAAACAAGTACTGTAATAGGCTGCAGGTCATCCAAAGTTCCATTCTTAGGATAAGATATTCTGAATCGTTTCCACTCTGTTTTAAAACAGAACCTACCATGTTGCCAAATTATTTGATCTTCCCTTGCTGAATTGGATGAGTTGTTATTACATTCCATACATATTCCACTTCTTCATTAAAATTACAAAAGTTTGCACCAGCTTCCACTATTGATGAGAACACTGATGGTATCGTTCTTGTTGAGAGCCATCCTTCTAATAAGTCTGTGATCAAATGTTCGCAATAAATTCTTCCCCTTCCACCAAGGATCAAGAATAAATTTTATAAAATGCCCATTCCATTTATTGAAATGTTTAATTAGACTTTGTTTGTTAGAGAGAGAGACTATAAGGTTATCATAATTTCCAAAAATAAACTGCTTTGAACTTCTCTTGACTCATGATACTAACATGATTGCACTAGACCGTCTTCATGAAACCATCTTGTATTAAGCATATTCTTAAGTTTTTTTTATACGTTTAGACTAGGTATACACTAAAAATAATTTCAAAGAGTTATCGTCTGTTGCTAACTTGATCCAGCATTCCATGTTCCCCCCATTTAAAAGCCACTAACTCGAGTATAGCTAATCTATCATCAATGCATTGCATGTCCACAGTCTACAAATTTAAGAACCTATTGGGTTCAGTGCTATGTAGATTTTAATCCTCAGACAGTTTTGAAAACTTATTGGATTGACAGATTTCTAACAACAGTACTACGATGAATAGAGTTGAAAAAATCAATTTTTTGATGGCATTCTTCTTTTATCTCTCTAAATATTGTTTACTGTTCTCAGAGTTCATAACAAAACAAACAATTCCTAAACCATTTCAATTTACTTTCCAAATTAAGCTCTACTGGAACATACTTGCGGAAAGTCGGATCTACATGTGGGCAGGAGGAAGCGTGGTGCAATCAAATCACCTTTCAAACCTTTGCCCGGATTTCTCACAGCTCCTGAGTTTCACATTTATCTTAACATTGCTTCAGGGAAACCCGTAAAACAAACTTTATGTAAATTCGCATCCCTCAATCATACCAATCTCTAAACATTCCACAAGAAGGCCTCAAAATTAAGAATTCCAAGTCAATAACCACAAATAACTGCTTAACTGAAAATACCACACATGGTCATGCAACAGTGTACATGATACGCAAGGACAAAAATGCTTCTTCTGTAATCAGAAATTAATCAAAACTAATACGTTTATACTGAATAACTGAACATTTCTAAAAATTAAATCCAACCGCGCATAATCAGAGATTCATCTTACATTTAATCAACTGTATTCACTACAACTAGGATGTTAAAACGCACTACGGCAACAAACAATGATATGATTATAACCTATTCGAAAAATATAATTTAGTTTAAAAAAACTAAAAACAACTTCAAAGACTCGAAATCCCAAAAATATTTTGAAAGAATCACCTTTGGATCATCTTCTTTCTTCTGCAAGAGCTGATTCAATACGTCAACGCATTCGGCGAACTTCCCTGAGTGAAACAACGATCCGGCGTCCTTCGCCAGCGCAGCAGTGACAGATAAAACGCAGTCACCGTCCGGCGACGAGGCATCTCTGTTAGCGGCCGCCGAAGACGACGAAGACGAATCTCGCGAGTCCATTCACAGATCGACCAACCAGGTTTAAGGATTTAACAGAAACAACTACGTAAAACCAAAAACCCTAAGTTCACTACGATACAAATACTCTGATGATTGTATCTCTCATCACTTGAGCAAATTCGAATAGATTGGGATTGCGATACCCTAAGCTTTCGATGCAGAGAAAATAGCAGCACTTGTGTATATGTCGATTGTAATGCGTCGATAGAGAGAGAAATCGAACTGAAAGAGAACGCGGATAGAGAGAGAATGTAGAGAGAGAATGTAGAGTCGAGAGAGATGCGACTTTTAAGAATTTGCTCGCCTTAGTGGGGGCACTCGGTCTGAGATAAGCAAATTCGGCGTCAGCGATGCTAGTCTACAAATTCGGGCCACCAATACTTTATTATATAGACCGTTGATATTGAGCTTCAATGTTTGTATGGGTGTTAGAAAACAGATCGTACGGTTGACAAGCAAGAGAGCTGGCACTCCATTAGGAGTGCAAGAACTCTTCCTTCTTCGTTTTAACTAGTTTGGGGATCAGACCCATTATAATATGGTTCGGGTCGGGTTTCCATCCAAACCCTTTCTATTTATGATCTTAAATCCAACTAGGGTGGAACTTGGGTTGGCCAAGGTATCCACCCACCCCAAATCCAAGTTTTAACACAACTGAGGTCAACTCTGAACTTTGAATAATCTATTTCATCTTAATCCCCGTTGATATGGCACAGGTTTTAGGGTCTTTTCGATTCTGCAAGTGGTCCAAATTTTTATCAATCTACTAATAAATAAACGGACTTGGATCCATTTGACATGAGATAAAACCATTCCATCTGACAAGAAGGTTTTTTTTTTTAGGGGGGGGGGGGGGGGGGAGTCTGGGTGATTAAAACTTGTGAGAATTAAAAAAAAAATTAATGCAAGTGTGTCAGAGTTAGATTAATATATATGATATTATAAATCATCTCATTTTAATTTTATTTTACATAAATAAAGTACAGCCTTTAAAATATAAAAATTATAAACTTTTCTTGCATTATGAGATCTTTAAGTTTATGTGTTAGTAAAAAATTTGCCCAAATCTTGTCCAAAATAAATTTAGAATCTAAAATTTAAATCAATCCCTCAGTGTCAACTACCTCACCCACACTAGTAAAAATTTCTCACCCCTAAATCCAAATACATATACATATATATAAGGGTCGCGAACCAAAAGCACTCATATGGTATACAGATAAAATATATAATCCTTGTACATTCTAAAAAATCCCTAACAGTCAACTTTTGAGCAAATAAGGGTCTGAATATTGAAAAAACTAAAGTGTCCCTTTTTTTTTTCTTCTTCTTATTATAGCTTATATGATTTATTTGTTTTAATTCTGTGTATGCTTAGGTGGATTTAATTGGTTTATAATTTATCATGTGCAATGCACCTGACTAAATTTGTAACCAAACAGTGACTCAAGCCCTTCTTTGATAATTTTTTCAAACTTAATGCACTTATATACTAAAAAAGTCCTTAGGGGTTATATATTTCCAAATTTTAAACATTAATAAGGGTGCTTTTCTTACTTTGTCCTATATAAAATAAATAAATTAATTAAAGTATGTTATAGATCCTCATCAACGGTGCAGTATGTTGTACAATATACTCACCCTGATATGGACCAATAATAAATTAACATGTAATCTTTAATTACCAAATCAAATATGGTAGGTAAATATTCACTTACCAAATCAGAGATAGTAATTTGATTATCATCTATAATTTAGTAATTAAAGTTTTACCTATCAATTTATTATCGGTCAACATCAACAGTATTAGCAGTAAGTATGTTGTAGATCCTCCTAATAAGGACCTAAGTATTATTCATAAAGTAATAGAATTATGATAGGGAGTACAAAGTAGCACAACTCTTTTAATATGAATAAATGATGTTGAACTCAGCTACATTATTGACATCGATGTCAGTCCTTATTCACATAAAATAATCTAATTAATTGGACTATATATCATTTTTCATGCTATAATTTCAAGCACAATTTCATGGTACAAAAAATAATAATTGTGGATGTGGATTCTTTTATTATTATTATTTTATTTTATTTTATGAAAAACCATTGATGTGCGCTTATAAATATTTGGGGAGAAAATTTAAAAATGATTCCTTTTCTCTTCTTTTTTTTTTTTTTCATTATGAAGAACAAAATGGTTTTAGCGGTTTTTTCTTTTTCTTTTTTCTATTTTCTACCTCTTTGATTTTGTTGTTTATAGTTTGAATTTTGAACTAACTAACAAAAACTAATTTACAAAATCAGATATGTTGGATAGGAATGATCTTAAGTTTCTGTAAGTAGACTATGTCAAAACTAGATAAAAGGAAACCATGAGCATTAGAAAGGATCTTAAGTTACTAAAGAAGACTATCAACACTGTCACATGGACATTACTTTAGAAGCATTACGATTATTATAAAATGATGTCAGGTAGAGTCGAATTAATGTTAATTCGTAATGAACGGTTGTAAATTTGTAAAGATTGCTACTTTCATTTGACGTTTTCCTGTAATAGACAGTGTAGTTCCACAGCAATGTCACTAGCTATTAATATTGAACTATTGAATTCTTCTAGTGTTGTGTGTTTTTAACAAAAATAATAATAATAAATAAACAAATAAATCTTTAGAGCGTACATCCAATCACTCTAGTAATTATAATTAAATTGTGAAAAAACTTACTAACTAAGGATTAAATTGCTACATGGTCTTTCTGTTTTTGACAATTTTTTATTAGTTCCATAGATATTAGCATATAGCAAGTAGCCTGATGTTAAATGGGTCCCACAAATTTGTTATAAAAAAAACTTCAATATCATTTAAATTGATTTGAGCCCGTGTTCAAGTCCTTTGACCAAGGACAGACAAAGTAGTTTTTTTTTTTTTTGTCTGAGGAGCAATAGTAGTTTATATTTTATATTTTATTATTATTATTATTATTATTTTTTTTTTTTGTATTTTTAGTGGGGGCAATATTAAAATTTTAAAGGTATATAATTCAAAAAAAAAAACAGTAGTTTAAAATTTAAAATAAAATAAAAATCAATATAATAGGTCCATGCCCGGCTTTGACAAGATTACACAAGCCTACGAAGCTTATTCACGGACCCAGTTTTTATGAACCTAACATGGACTCATTTATTAAACAACCTCAAAAGTTAAACACACAAACTTGACTTGTATACTTAATGAACAAAATCAAGGAAAATTTTAAACAAGTGAATCCTAAATTGTTCGTGAACGAGCTCTAGTAACACACTTTCGTTATAAGTGTAACTGAACTAGAAAAATTGAGATACAACGAACTGCTGAATGAAAAGAGAAGTAACTAGACAATTGATCTTGCAATAAATTGCTTTGCGAAATGAAAATGGTTCACTTGCATCACCTTCCAGTTTACAAAAACCATCTTAATTCAACAGTTTCACAGTTATGTTAAATAACACTGACGGTGCCTAGCACAACAGTACAACCATTTTATATGCAACATATCGTACAAAGATTGAAATAAATATTTAATTACATTTTAACCACATAAAATTGACAAAGACAGGCATGATGAGCATCATTCAATAGCTTGGCTGCACATCCCAGTGAGCTGAAAGTGACATGTAAAACAAGCGCTGGAAATCCAAAAGGTTAACCGGTTTTTCTTAGCATCTCCAAGATGGATTCCGCATTACGGATTTCCTGGCTCTCTTGTGACTCATTCCCCTGAGAGAAATCAACACCAGTGTAAGTTCGAATCCCAGGGCCATGTCCATTACAGTCCCTCTCCCTTCCTTGCTGCGCTCGCCTAACTTCCTTTTGATGCTCGGTTAATTCCGGTCTTTTTCTCTTTAAACTCAAATGCAGCTTATCATTGCGCTCAAGACCATTCACTGTATCCTCAACCAATTCTACTCTCTTTGAGTTCCTGTTCTGTGTTGCTATCACCCTGTATCTCTGTGGAGCAGTAATTACTTCTACGCTAGAGTGAACTTTATCAGAGAATGGTGGGCTTCTGCTGCAGAGGTTTAGTCTTCTGGTTCTGGAGAGCTTGTCTAAGACGTGGAGTAGGCTTTCAGGATAATCTAACCTGATTTGCTCACCGTACGTGGAATTCCAGAAAGTAATGGTAGGCTCAGAGACGGCGGGATTTGGGTGATCTAGAGTCTTTTCAAGGAGGGGTGCTTGGAGTTTAAGGAATGATGAATCAAAGATTATTGGTGGCCGACTCCTCTGTAAGCAATTAAGGGTTTTGGCCCATAAGAGTTGAAGTTGATGATTAATGTTCCCGTATGGTACATCACTTTGTGATAGCCACTGAAGCAGAGGACTAGATATTATCTGGAATGGGTAATTGAAAAGAAAAAATCAATATACTGACATGCTTGAAAGCAATTTAAGAAAGAATGAATGTTGTTGATTCTGGCCTACTTCAGATGCCTTTTTTAAAGAAAAAAAATGCAAAGTCAATGAAAAGTGGAGAATGAAGCTCTAGAGTAACATTTTCATCAACATCCAGAATGGCTTGAATTTATATGCAAGGAATGCAATGCTTCAAAATATTAACCAAAAAAAGATCTAGAAACAAAAGACTGGTACAAAATCTTTTTAGAACTTTCCTTCTTATATCTGTTGCAAACATTATTGTTCTGGTACAATGCCAATGTGGCAATACAGCAAATAACAAGTGAGAAACACAAACCTGCATAAATGAAAGCATTTCTCCCTTTGAGTAAAGGCAGCCCACAAAGCGCACCAATGCAGAGAACACCCTGCAAGTCTCCCATTCAATGAAGCATACCGCAACACAATTATTAACAGAGAGCTTGACAAATATGACTTACCTTGAAGTCAGAACAAGAACAGTTGGTGGGTTTGTTTCTACTAGTGTCCATGACAGCATCATGAATCTGTATAATGCCAGATGAAATATTAGCAACAAAGGGTGGAAACATGCCGGAGAAAATGTAATCATCTCCTTTCATTTTCCAAGTTATTTAATTTTCACATGGGCTAATAATGTGTAATAAAATTTATTCCCACTCTCACCCAAAAAGGAATAAAAAAAACAAGAAAAGAAAAATAGCAAGCCTCTCACATTCTCTCAACAATTATCTAATACAAAGTTCAACATTAAACTTCTGGAACTGATTTTCCAGAAACTATATTCTTCTCTTCGTTTTTGAAACTCAATCCTTGATTTAGAGGACCCATTGAGCTTTAAAGAGTGTACTAAAAAAAAAAGCACTTTTCTTTTGTATATACAACTTAGAGTTCAAAGGAGCCTTCCCCAAGTGGGGACCAAGCGTCAAAGACAGCATGCATCAAACCTGTCACAACAGTGAGGGGAAGATGCCTCACCTCACTACCATTTGGGGTTTGGCATATACTATTCAATATTCAACATCAAATATTGCACTAACCTAGCAGCAAATTCCAAGCAATTGTTGATGCCACTGAATCTCTTATAGTCACCACAATCTTTGTCTTTACTTCCACTAGAACTTACACCTGAAGCCAGAATATGTTCAAAAACACATATCACAGCATTGCCATATAAAGAAGGCAGATCAAAATCATGGTGGTTGATGCTTGGATCAAGCTCAGTGCCACACTCAATCATGCTTGTATCAACTAGGCACCCATTTAATAATGAAGTCAGATCCTCAGCAAATCTTTTTGAGGTTGAACTCTCAAACTGCAAAGCCTGATCAACAGAGACATAAAGCGACTTCCACACGTCTACAACATCTTCAAGCTCAAGCTTTCTTTGTGATTGTGAGGAAACGAGATATGATTCGAGGGGGCCCTTACATTCCACCATGGTCAACTGCTTTTGAGGGCAAGAGCATACAACAAATGGGTAGGACAAGAGATGGCATATTGCAAGACGACCAGTACTTCCAGGCTCCGGTTTCAATAGAGGAAAATCCTTTACACCGTCTATGTAGTCTTTCAGACTCTTTGCTATTGATATCCATATCTTTAAGCAGTTGAATCCCATGTGTTTATACAATAAACCAAAAATGGTGTGGAGATTTTCCAAGGGATCATAGGAAGACAATATGAACTTTACATATTTGTGCACTCCCTGCAATATGAACTCTGCTTTGGACGTACCGGAAGCTAAGGTAAACACCCCACAGAAATAGAGTGTGGTTAAATAAACAATTGGTGAAACCATATCCATGTAAACTGAAAAGCAGATACCAAGTACCTTTGCTTTCTTAGTTTCAATAACTGATTGCAAGTTGTCAATGTACTTAAGGTCTAATGCCACTTTGTAAAGAGGGGATCCCAGCATAGAAGGTTCCAACTCCTCAGCAACAATTTCTACAAACTGAAGGGAAAGATGGTGCAAGTCACCAATGTCACTGTCTTTTGAAGTCACATTTTCATGTATATTCTTTATGAACCTTAAAACTGCGTTCAAACACTGCATAACCTCATTATAATCAATGGCTGGATTCTTCAAGACAGATTGAATTCCTTTCAGAACAGATCCAAATATCGCTAAGGCAGCATCACATGTCAAGCTTCTGATTTCAGCGGGGACAGTCACTGCTGATCCTTGAGTGACAATAATGTAAATCATCTTTATATAGAAGTCCAACTGACTAAGACCCCATGGCAAACATTTAATAGGATAATGTATCTGTGAGCACTTGCCAGATACTGGAGGTCTGTTGGTAGGGGTTTTGTCTAATGAATGACCATTTACCTGGTTATTCAAGTCATCATCCACAATTTTACTTCTTGCTAAAATAAAGTTATCGAGCAGATCTAGGCAGAAATTCCATGACCAGATGTTCCTACTTTCAGGTCCAACTCGGAAGACTGCTTCAAAAATAGGCTCCCATACAGTTTTTATCACTGAAGGACAGTTCACGAAGTTATCAAGTTTATGTAGTAGATAAGACCACGTGTTCAAGCAGGATGAGTGAACAGACACATCACATTTACTTGAAATGATTCCTATTAGGGGTGTCATTATGAGCTTTATGCTTTTCGAAAATCCATCTGCTTCGGTTCCACTATTGCTCCCCATAGATTTCTTCACTTGTTGAATGCAATGCTCTGGAGCTGTATTTATCTCAGGTACTCGTTCTGGAGTGAAAATGAGAGCATCAACCAAACCTTCCCAGGCAACCTGCAATTTGAAGGCGCGTTATTTATTTTTCAAAATAACCGGGCCAAGAGGTTGAAAATGTTATTAGGAAGTATTTGATAATATTTTAACTTAGAAAATAAATCCTAACCAAGACATATTTCTATTTTTTCTTTGGAAAGGGAACCTGGTCAAAATATCCAATAGGTGGAAAAGTGAATTATCTTGAATAAATATATAAACACGCATCGGGTAAGAGAATGGCTAGTTGTTAGTATTTAGTAATGTTATACTTTCCCAGATTAGCTGACTTCAGGGTTGTAAGAGAATCCCTTCAACAGACCGTGTTGGGGCACAGCAACAGCCACAGCCAAAAAAAATAAAATGAAATGTACAAGTTTTTGGGTCTGTGATGACATTCACTACCAATATTTGGGCAAAAACATTCCAGCTGGATAAATCAACTCAGCCAATACCCACCCGTTTAAGAGATTGACCTCATGGTACAGAAAGTTAAGGATCCAATAAGTGGCATGGGCCGGTTATAGCTCGCTGGCATGGGATCGGGTCAAACAATTGAAGTATGGCCCATGCAAAAGCACCACGGAATGGGCCGAGCATGGAGGATCCACTGAAGAAGATCAAGCCCATTGGAAAGTCAGGCCCAAAAGGAAGAAAACCCTTGAATAGGAGCCCTATGTAATCAGTTAGTTAGAATATTTGTAATGGTCTATAAATAGACCATTACGGGTGGATAAGAAGGGGGATTTTTCTATTGAAGTGTAAGAATTCTAGAGAGAGAAAGGAGAATGAATTTCTTGCATCTTCAAAAGTAATGGGAATCTTCCAGAAGCCCATAATCACATTTTGTAACATAATAGTAATTTTCCAGAAACCCATATCCTACCTCCGAACCGGGAAAAAAAGAAAGAAAAAAAAAAAGAGGAAATGAAAAGAGTAAAGTAAGGGTGGCCCAGATATACATTCAATTAGATTATGGAGATATGCCATAGTTGATTTCATTTTATACCTTCAACCATAGTTTAGTGCAATAGGAAAACTCACATGAATATCAAGATAGCCACTTTGTTCAAAATAATAACAAACGTTACTTCTTCCTCTAATTATCCCATGCCGGTACCCCCATAAGATGGACATAGACTGGGTTAAGCAGCTTATGCACAATAGAAGAATCCATAATTCCCTTTATCCTAGTCCCGAACCCTCAAGTCCTCGACCAATTAAGGTATCCAGGCCAACTCAGCACCACTTAGCCATCAGGTTGTTGACTGAGAATGGCACTATTAACATAGGGAAAAGGTTTGAAAACATATCTTCCCATGTGATAGATTTAATTATAACAAAATCCTCAACTTATTAGAGCTGAAAGGAATACCAGTGAGGCAATCTGGACTTGTGGATCTATATCAGAAAATGTGTGCTCTGGAATTTTCAGAATTTCATTGACCAAATGCCTATTCTTCACAGCATAAGGTCCTAGCAGGCGAATTAACCATCCCCATGCTTTCATAGTTTGAATCTTCAAACCATTATTCAGCAGCTCCTTCATGCCAGGAAGCATTTTTTTCTTCATATCTATCGCGACTGCCTGTTTAAGATATATATATATATATTACACTTTTAGAAAAGTTAAATATAATAAGCACCACATTATATTGCAAAATGCTTCAATTCACCAACAGGCCTGTGGCCTAGCGGTACAAGGCTCCTACTTCCCAAAGGGAGGTCAGGGGTTCGAACCTCAGTGGAGGCCGTGTGTGTGAATCCCAACTAGGAAAAAAAAAAAAATGCTTCAATTCAGCATATTTCTTGAAACTCACCTCAATATATAGTTTCACCAACCTGGGCAGCATCAAATTTCAATCTTGTTTTTTTGTTTACCACAAAAAAAAAAAAAAAAAAAAAAAAAAAAAAAAAAAAACCCCAACATATAGCATCACCAACGTGTTTGATACTATGATATAATTATTTTTATTTTACAACTGGAACTACAATACTTGAATAGTTGAATGTCAATATGTTCAAAATTTTTAGCCTCTCTGTTCTCCTATTTCAGATAGAAGTTGGGAGGCTGGTTGAATTGGAATATCTCCATTATTAATGTTAAGAGATGAGCGACTACTAACCAACATATAGTACAAATCCAAACCAAGACTATGAAATGTCAATAAAGTTTTTCTACTGGGGTCTAAGATACTTAATCTAAGGAGCAACCAAGTTGACATACCTAATTTTTTAAAGAAAATGTTATTAGTAAACATCACACATATTTTCAAGGATGTATACTGCTAAATGTCATCAGATAAACATTAAGACTTCGTGAAAAAATAAATAAATAGAATTTAAAAATTAAAAAAAAAAAAAAAAAAAAAAAAAATCATATATTTACAATTATTTGTTTTGCATTTCTTTTACTATTCAATTGCCAGTCCACCAGACATGTACATCTCCCCAAATTATTTATAGTTTGAGGAAGGTCTAAGACTGTCTATAATGTATCTAGCATCTACCCAGGACTATGCATCAACCCTTTCAAGTGGGAGAAGATCGAACTACTGCTTAAACCACCCAATAAATTGGTTGGTTCAATGAACAGTTAATTTACCACGTTGTATGGTGTGTGGAGTCTGTGGACCCATGATCCTGAAGACGGTCTGCCCACAAAAGTGTGTGGTGACTGGTGGGTTATGAAGCAGTTCTTGACGGGCTTCCACTTGCTCATCCCCTTGACTCTTTCAAAATCCACATTGAGAATCCCATCACAGAAATCCATTAGCAAATTACTATTTAGATTATATGTGTACATATATAAACAACATAGAAGCAGTATATGCCTGATTAATTAAAGAGACATCAAGTGATTATGGACCAAGAAACAGCTTCAGTTGACTCAATGTCAAGACTGGTTCCGTCATCACTTGATAACTAAGTTTGGGGTTACGGCACAAGGTGGGAGCGGAAAGCACCCTTCTCACCCCATCCACAATGTCCTCCATCCGTCACCCAAGGTCCAATATTTATGTTTATATAAATCACATACAATGACAAAAAAATTGACATGATAAAAAAAAAAAAAAATCAGATATAGGAACATATTATAGCAAGTAGAACATAACATACATATCACAAAAATGCAGCACATATCACTACCAAACATGCAAGGTAAAAAGGGAAGAGAAGATACCTTATACCTTTATACACACATGAATATAGAAATAACAAAAACACAGGAGCATGCAAAAAAATAAAACTAAGAATATGATTTTCTAAACATAGACCATGCCCAACAAAAAAAAACTAGAAAAAATATGGCATGTCAGGAGAAGGAAAAAGTGGAACATTTCTTAAGCAAGTACTTCACTAGCCAAGCCAATTGTGAAAATAGGTACCTGAGGTGGCAAATATGATGATCAAGTAAATGAATGTCTCAATGTTGCCATTTAAAGAAAGTCTTTGTTGTACTAGCTTCATTAATATATCGGTACTGCTATATGATGATTCATTACAAATGGTCTTTGGCCTAAAAAATGAAAAAATTAAAAAATGAAGGAAAAAAAAAGAAGGTGTTTGTGTGTGTTAGAAGGATAGTTGTAAATTGGTATTACTATCCAATAGTTCTATGACTTGGAAAAATCTAGTCAGAATGGCTATACTGATACTCTGAGGACATAGGTTCAACTCTGAGAGCAGTCAATTTGTGCAAAAATAGTATCAAAGCTTAGGTCACCATTGGTCTTCCCTTCCCAACATCCTGCATAAGTGTGACTTACGTATACTTTAAAATTAACCCTCTTGATTGCCTAAATATTCATAATAGAACCTACAATTAAAGTGTTAGCAAAGACTATGATGACTAAATAGATATAGGTAACATATTTAATCACATGAGCCATAACATGAAACAGATCCAGTTTCTTAGTATCTAAACTGTAGCACTACAGGTAGCATATTATTTCACATATGCCTTTCATGCCGTGAATGCACCTCTTTATACATAAATTTTTATTTTTAAACATATTAATGAGTTATAGGTCAGATAGAATTTGAAAACTACAATAGCCTGTAGTACCTTGGAGAGAGCTAATGTGGGAGGAAATATTGTAGAGCTAATCTTCAGAAAACACCTTTCTGACATATCTCTCTCCCTTTTATCAATGCTGACAAATCTTCTATATATTGGAGGAGCCCATATATTTGACACGTCTCTCATCCTCTCACTTAACTGAGTTGCTAGCTTCATTACAGCCTATAACAGTAGCATGAAGAGTGAGTCTACAAAAATTAGGCCATACATTTGCATTCTTAACATGTCTTAAAATCGAGGAATAGCAAGAAATGAGCAGAATTCAGCTGACCAGAGAGATTATGACGTAAAATGCTATTAATAAAATACTGTCTGTGGTAAAACTTGTGAATACTTAAGCTCCATTGGTGAAGAGATTCAATATCAAACTATAGCCAGGTGGGCAGGGAATTTAATAGACTGCTAATTGACATAAACAGAAGAAATTAACAATTATATCTCGTGTCAAAGCTACAACGTCCATTGACATATGCAATTGTTATGCAAAAGAATGCATGACAAATTTACTATTAAAACGAAAATATTAGCTTGATTCTTTTTGAAAATGCTAAACAATGAGTATATGAGAGCACAATTTTAGCTTATTCCTTTTGTTTCTCAACTATTTATGAAGCTTATGTTGAGGATGTATTCAGTTTGTACACACAAAGACCTCCTTGCAAGGCACCACTGCCACTGGAAATACTTAAGAACCGTGCATATCCCACTACAAATCTGATGATGTCAGACTATAAACATCCAGATGAGCTTAGCAGCTGCGGTACTACTCTGTCACCAATATAATGATCATACCATACCCTATTAAGTAAATAAAAAATGCAATGAGATGGTTCACAAATTGTACCTGAATAGCTTCAAATGTTGTTGACAAGGAACCAATAGGATTGTCAAGTGCATGAACAACTGCCCCCAACAAAGAATGGAAGTGTTCAGCCAAAAACAATGGATTCAACTGTTGGATTGATATACACCACACTCCTAAGTTACAAACGGACTGTGATCAACAAGATAAACATGTTACAAATCCTCTAATGTCCCCTAATCAAAGCCAAAGCTACAATAATCTATCAGAAACTAAAAATTTCACTTTACCTTCATTTTGGTAGTTAGAATGACTTTAACCAACAAATCCACAATCATATTAGCATCCTTCCCTGGATAACCAGAAACCAAATGTTTAATTTAGAATCCTACCTTCCCTTTGTCATTGTTGGGTGAATAGAATGACAAAATAATGTAGTAGAAAACCCAAAATGCTCGTAATTTCAGGTCTCAAAGCCCAAGATAATGTCAGCATTTTTAGACATTAGCAATCATCTCTTGTTGAATGCCAATAATAAAAGCTCCTGGCGAATGTAGGTGTGTGTGATGGGATGGGAGTTCCTCTTGAAGTTTTACTCAACAACTGGAGTCCCTATTCTTTTTTACTTGGTCTGTAAAATTGATTTGTGTGTATTTCGTTATTAATATTATTTACATTGTACTTGATTTAAAATGTGTGTAGTTATTTCGAAATTTGAATCCAAAAACACTACTTTTGTTTTTAAGTACAAATATAGCAATTCCCAACACACTGGTCTTCCAATTTAGCACCAACAAAATCAACTCCACAGCATACAAAGAGAGAACCAAAAAAGAAAAAGAAAAACCACCCAACTTACTCGGAATTGCAACAACGAGGGAGGAGTGGTACATCATGAATCCCAGGCACTTCAAAGCCTGTGAAGCACTGAAATTCAAAAAATAAAATAAAATAAATTCATTATAAATGATCAAAAATAAAATCAAAGATTTTGGGTAAAACTCACATTTCTTCGTCGGCATCCGAGATGTCTGTGAGAATGGGAGAGAGGAGTGCGCGTGATGAATCTGCGAGCAATTGAATCGAAGAAGGATCGGTACTGGACTGTTCTTGGAGGTGTAAGAGGGTTGAGTAAGCAAAGGGTTTGTGTGCTTTGGTGTTTGAAGACAAAAGGGTTCTGATTTCTTCTAGCTGGCCTGAGAATTTCTCCATTTTTTTGTTAGGGTTTGGAGGATGGAGTAAAGGGACGCTGATTTTGAATGAAGTAAAACCCTACTTTGGAGGGTAATGAGTTGGGGTGCAGTCTTCGCGCCAAAAACAGATAAAAAGGAGATGCCTTGCCACAGGAGTCGACTGTTCAAGTCCTTGTAAGTATGTAAACAAAATTTAAAGTTGACTTCAAATTTGGGTTACATCTCCTGGTATGTCCAAATTTCAAGGAAACCCCTTTATATTTGTAAAAATTCGGTCAGACCCCTATCAGACATTGTCGGCTGACAAAAAATAATAAATGACTAAATTACCCTTTTGTTGTTTTTCTCTATACACCTAACCAAACCAAAGTTTGTATAACTTTAACCCAATTTTGTTTTATCTTGTGAACCAAACACCTTGTAATCACAGTGGCCAAACACTTGGATCCACTTTACTTCGTTAATCCAAACTTAAGTTTTGAAAATTCATTTTGTCAACTAACCCTAGATAGAGAGGTTGAGAGAAGAGATAACAGAAAGATATAACCCTAGGTTCGTATGTGAAGACATCGATTTTGGTTGATACGTGCACCGAATATGCTTGATCAAACAACAAATCTACAGATAGTTGAGGGTTTGAAGGGGAAGCATTTGTTTGATTTGAAACTGTTGAGAAAATTTCGCGATTTGGAGGTATGAATTTTGTCTTTTAAAATTTGATTTTGGTTTTAGTTGATAGGGGGTTTCGGGTTTGGGAAAATGGGTTTCTTTTTAGTGTTTCTTTGTTCGGTTGTTTTGATTTAGGGGTTTAGGGTTTGTTAAATTTATATCTGTAATTTAGGATCTTGATTTGGGGCTTTAAGGTTAGTTTTTAAGTTTCTTTGTTGGGTTTGTTAAATTGTTCGATTGTCTGCAAATTGTCTGTAAATTTAGGATCTTAATTTTTTTTCAATTTGTCTGTAAATTGTACGATTTGGGGGTTTTGTTTCAAAATGCATGAATTTGTTTAATTTATGTTAAAATGTCTGTAAATTGGTCGATTTGGGGGTTTTATTTCAAAATGCATTAATTTGTTTAATTTATGTTAAAATGTCTGTAATTTGAAAATGCATGAATTTGTTCGATTTGTCTGTAATTTTTTGTTTCAATTGGCCAGTGCCTTATTTATGCCATTTTTGTTTATATTTCTTGTTATTTGAATTATTGACAGTGATAAGAGATATTTATCATAATTTTCACATACACTACAAGTCAAAATGTAGAACTAATAATCATGTAGACTCTGATAAGTATGGTTTGTATGATTTCCTGGAAGATATAAGTAGAACTGTTCTTGAGGATTATCCTGGGGGTTTGGGGTTTACCTATTCTATATACTGTGATGTTCCTGGTCCTTATTCTAAGATGTTGGTTGAGAATGAAGCTGATTTGTTAAACATGTTATACTTAAATAGTGAAAGAATTAACATTAATGTGTATGTTGAGATAGAAGAAGTTGAACCCTTAAATATATCAACTGATATGGATGACCCTTATGAGAATATAGATTGTGGAGTGGATGCTGAAAATAGTGAGGGACTGAGTGAAGAATATGATGAGGAAGTGGGTGATGAAAACAATGAGGAAAAGGATAGTGATGTGGAGAAAGATGGTGTGTATGATTTTAGGAAAGAGAATCAAGATTGGATGGAGAAGGTGATACTGATTGTGTTGAAACTGACACTGATAGCTCAGATGATGAATACGTAGGGTTTTAATACAATGATGAAGACTACAATAATGAAAATTACAATGTGGACTGTGAGGATGGCCTGTCAGATTATGAGTCAAATGATGAAGCACATTCTAATTCAAGTGTAGAGATTGGTGTGAAATATCCAAAGAGAAATAGATCAAAGAGCAAGGATTGGGATAAAATTTTCAAAATGAAGGACTATGTAGAGGTGAAAGGACAACCTATGAAACTAGAACAATATTTATTGTTTCAAAATGTGAAACATTTCAAAGAGGTGTTGACAGATTGTACAATCCAAGAAGGGTTTCAAATTAGAAAGACCAAAAATAAGAGTTCAAGGATAACTTGTGTTTGCAAAGCCAAAGGTTGTCCACGGAGGATCCATGCCTCCCCACAACCTTGTAAGACTTATATGATAAAAACATACAATGATAATCATTATTGTATGGGGGGTGATAAAAATCTATTAGTCAATTCTACATGGATTGCAAAGAAGTTTTTTAAGAAACTCAAACAAAACCCACAAATGACAGTTGAACGTCTGAGAACTTCACTGCATGAAAAATATGACATTAGGGCAAAGAAACAACAATACTATAGAGCAAAAAGAAAGGCATTGGATGTGATTGAGGGTAACCATGGGAAGTCATACAGTTTACTGCCCTCTTATAGGAATGAAATTAGGAGGACAAACCCTGGCAGTTTGGTCACACTTGATTATTATGATGCTGAATTCAATGGAACCAATAGATTCAGAAAGATTTTCATTGCTTTTGATGCTTTTAGGTCTGGGTTTATAAAAGGCTGCAGGCCATTCATTAGGTAAGATGGCTGTTTTTTAAAGGGCCCACATGGTGGAATGCTTTTGTCAACTGTGGCCTTTGATGGCAATAATGGTTTATTCCCCATTGCTTATGCTATGGTAGAAAGTGAAGGAAAGGAGACCTGGACTTTTTTCTTAGATAATTTGAAGGATATTCTTGGTGCAGATGCACAAGCCAGACATTAGACAATTATGTCTAATATGCAAAAGGTATAATTTTTTTCTTTAACTTGTTTATTATTATATAGTTCATTATTAAATTGTTCATTATTACTTGTAATTTATTTTATTTTGCATTTCAGGGTCTTAAGGTTGCAATTTCTAACTTGTTTCCTAAGGCAAGCCATAGGATATGTTGTAGGCACTTGTTTAACAGTTTTAGGAAGGATAATCCTGGCTTGTTGTTGAAAAAAATTTATTGGAAGGCTGCTAGATCATGCAATGAACTTGAATTTAATGGTGCAATGAATCACATGAATGAGATTTCCACAGAAACTCATGATTGGCTAATGGATAGGCCTTTTGAAAGATAGTCTAGGGTAGGGTATAGTGAAACATCAAAGAGTGACCATATCACAAACAATTTGACTGAATCCTTCAACAATTGGGTTGGTCATTATAGGTGTAAGCCAATCTTGAATATGCTTGAGTGGATTAAGATAAAATTAATGGTGAGAATCCAGAAAAGGTATCAGAAAGCTTTAGCTTGGAAGGGAAATTTGACTCCAAATGCTTTGAAAAAATTAAACAAATCCATTCAAGAATCAATAGGGTGTAGAGGTTGTCCTGTTGGGAGGGATGGGTTTGAAGTTCATGATGTAGTGGGAGTAAGTGTGGTTAATTTAAACTTGAGGACTTGCTCATGTAAAGCATGTCAGATATCAGAGATACCTTGTAGGCATGCAGCTGGTGCTATTTCATGGAATAGGCAGGATTCTGAGCATTTTTGTGATCCTTGTTACACCAATGACACATACCTACTTGCCCACAGTGGGATGATTCATCCTTTGATGGATGAGAAGTTCTGGCCAAAAACTCCATCAATTGACTTGTACCCTCCTAAACCAAGAAGATTACATGGTAGATCAAGAAAAAATAGAAGAAAGGAACAAGGTGAACCTGCCCCTGCAAATGCAATACCTAAGAAATCTTCAGTTGTAACATGCAAGTATTGCCTACAAACTGATCATAATAGGAGGACTTGCCAGAGAGCTCAAACAGCAATAGAAAGAGCTGCAGCAGCAAGAGGGAGGGCTACAAGTGCAAGAGGAAGAGCTCAAACAGCAACAGTGAGTGTTTCAGTCAATTTTAAACTTGCTATATTTTCAAAATTTTCTTTTATTACTAATTTATATACCTTCTAATTGTTAATTTAGGGAAACATAAGTTCTCAAACTCACGGATCAGAAGGAGCAGGAACTTCTGGTGTTACACAACAAATATAAGTCTTTATTTATGTTCACTATAACAAATTTTCAATTCTATGATTACCCAATACTATACTTAACTATTTTTTTTTTTTGTTTAAATTTTTTTCAGTCCCAAACTGCTAGGAGAGGTGGAAGAAATGGAAGTGCAAGAGGTGGAAGAAATGTACGTGCAAGAGGAACTTCTTAACCAAATGCGAGTTGCATTGGTGGTGGTTCTCAACAAAATGTGAATGGCATGGGTGGTGCTTCTTAACCAGCTATAACTGGCACGGGTGGTGCTTCTCAACCAACTGTAAGTGGCATGGGTGGTGTTTGTCAACCAACTGTGAGTGGCATGGGTAGTGATTCTCAGCCAAATATGAATATGAGAAGTTGTTCACAACCAATTCAGAGTGGTAGCAGAGTTGGAAGACAGCTAAGTCAGAGTGGTATTGGTGTTAATCCTCCACCATGGGTAAGCAATAAATTACCTAATATTTATCCTTATACATATTAATTTATTGTTGCATTACTATTCTAATCCTGGCATTTAATTATAGAGAGGGTAGCAAAAGAAGTACTAAGGAAAGAAACACAGACTGTTAGCAGTTGGGGACTCCTTTGGGTTTTATTCACCACACAACAGTGAGTTGGTTTTTGATGTTTTTGATTCCAATGTTCTAATGGTTTTAGGATTTCTGTATTAAATATTGACCAGCTTTGTTTGAAACTTGAAACTTGTAAGTTGTGGTTGACATTGGTTAAATATTAACTAATTCAGAATGTTCTAATGGTTTTAGGATCTCAGTAATAGCGATGTTTGCTTTGTGGTTGTAATGCATGTGCAGTGGTAATAAATTAATGATGCTTTTTATGGTAAATGTACTCAATATAGGTCAATATTTATTGCATCATTTTATTTGAAATAAATAGCAAAAATAGATAACCAGAAGCAAACAAATACAACTATCTTCAAATACAAAATAGTTGTTTCAATAACTTGTAACCTTGAATTCATAGCTTGTCTCTGCAACCTCAATTCAGCAACAACCTCAAGCAGAAGTTGATTTGCAGGTGAATACTCCTCAATAGCACCAACACTAGTAACAGCAGCAGTAATAGAACCATCTATAGGGTTACACCATTCTCAAAAACTACATGTTTGATTTTCACAAATATAATA